GAATATATTCAGTAAATTTCCGTTTAGATTGTATACTAGTGACTATTTTCTACAAAAAAATGATTGGATTTATCCAAGTTGTTTGCTTATTATTGTTTTCCAGAGAAAGGTATTGGTGTTCGAATAGGTTTTTTTTAGTTATGTAGCGAATGAGAACACAAATTACAGAATTTCTTTGTAAGATATGAGAAATAACTCATTTGCAAAATGTCAATCAATCGTCTTAAACTTCATTGTTTCATGGTTTCTACCCGAATCATTCACTGTTCTCTTTCTATTTTCTTCGATCTGCTAAACCTTCTGCCACCAGATATTTCACTTTCGATAGATGATACATACTACTAACATCTGTCGATATCAGTAGCACATATCACGGTTAGTATTGAAATGCTTATCCTGTAAAAATAAAGATAATAATAAAGGTTCTTCACTTAAACTATGAAAATACAAAACGGAGAATACTAACTTATTCACACTTGATGAGGAAATTCTGGAAGATGTGAAATCTTTCATGTACCTAGGAAGCATCATCGATGAACAAGGAGAATCTGATGAAGACATAAAGGTGAAGATTGGCAAAACAAGGGCCACATTCCTTTAATTGAAGAACATATGGAACTCAAAACAACTATCTGTCAACCAATATCAAGGTGAGAATGTTCAATACGAACGTGAAGACAGTCCTGTTGTACGGAGATGAAACGTGGAGAACTACGACAAGTATTATCAAAAAGGCACAAGTATTTACAAAAATGTACAAGTATTTCAAAAATGACTAATTTATTAATCATCATCAAAAAGGCACAAGTATTTACAAACAGTTATCTACACAAGATACTGAATATTCGTTGACTGGATACTATCAGTAACAGCCTACTGTGGAGGAGAACAAACCAACTCGCAGCTGAAGAGTAAATTAGCAAAAGACGTTGGAAGTGCATATATGACACATATTGAGGAAATCATGAAAGTGCATCACGAGGTAAGCCCTAAGGTGGGATGCAGAGGGAAATGGAAAAGAGGAATGCAGAAGAATACACTGGTCATTTAATTGTAAGGAGAGATGAAGAGTGTGAATAGCAAGTGGGAAGGATTGTCTAGGACAGTGTTGGATGGAGAGTGCTTGTGAATAGCCTATGCTACTCCACGAGGAGTAACAGGCATAAAGAAGTAAATTTGAACAATAATGTATATATCCAAGTAAACTATACAAAGTGCCTATATGCCAACAGAAACTGATTTATTGAAATCCTAAATGGTCAATGTATAGATTGAAACAACTAATAAAAATGAATAAAACAATCCGCATAACTGCATAAGCTATTGGCTATTCACGATTTAGTAGCTAAGTGGATAATGTGTTAGCGTTTGATGGCATTAAGTTCTATTCCCCAAAAGAATATCAGCTTTAGGATGTAGGTAAAATGAAATAAAAAGTTCCTAATAGGATAAAACTCGGATCCTAGATTCCACAGCTAGTCATAATTCATATCTTTTGTGTACATTATTTTTCGGGTTAAATCTTATCAAAAACTACCTTTGAAATCATCTGAATTGTTTATTAGGGCTGTCATTCCTAAACAGTTTTCACTCAAATCTCTGTGTAGTATTAAGCTTACGACTTTCTAATAATTACATTATCAAACTTACACTCATGACTGTAATCTTTATTATCTTTTATTTGACTCTATAAGTACAATTTCATAATTGAGAAGCATTGATCAAAAACAAACATCTATCAATGTATATTCACTGATATATCTGTCATACACGAAGAAGAATTATTCAAATCTATAAAGTCATATTGTTGAAACCATAAGATTCTTTGAATATACATATATGCAATGTGTTTTCTTACTCTAATAAAACTGTAATATCTTTTAGATCGGTTTAATATCATATGATTTATTGACCAATTCAAATATAACTTATACAATGTTAGTACTATGCCAAACCAATGATATTCCATCGGTATGAATAGCCTAGAATCATTATTGGTCTTTTGTTCTTTTAATCCTTCTTTCAGTTCAAGTTGAGAACACGAATACCAAACTTTACTATTACGAATCATTTATTTCAAATATATTTAGTTTATATATTATACCAGTCAAACAGACTATATCATATCAAAAAATAGGGCATAATGTTTCTATAAGATCAAGCTAAAAACGTGACTGTGAATATGCGAGACTGTAACCAATAGATTGGGGAATATCTTAAAAATAGTAGTTTTTAGCAATTTAATAGTTAAATTCATGAGTAAATTGGATGTAGAGCACCATAGAAAACCTGAAAAGAGACTCTTCAGCAATGATTAGCTTCAAGAGGTATTTCCTTGAGTGGAGTTCAACCAGGTCTGGTGTGACATAGTAACTCACTGAACACAATGATAAACAGTGGCACAATTTCGTACATTGGTGCTGGCTTATTGGTCTAAAGGTTAAGTGTACGCGTGTGAGATCGATAGGTCGCGATCTGGATCGCCATACGTACTACTGAGAAGTTATATACTAGAACAAAACGGCTATCCAATACTTCCAGGTTTTCGATGGTGTTCTATATTCAATTGACTCATGAATTCAACTATTATATATTGATTGATTGCCAATTAGATATTAGCAATTCAAGAATTGACATCTAAATAATAGACATTCTTTTCGTCGCATATTACCAACAATCACAATATCTCGAATTGGGCTCTTTTATAACTTGTACAATGAAAAATTGTACATTTTTCCCGAAACTTATCTGAATAGATTATACAATGAATTGACATAATAATCTATTGAAACAAACAAACAATGAAATAGGTCAGTGGTCTAATGGTTAAGTACTCGCGCGCGAAACCAGTAGGTCCTGGGTTCGAGTCCCGCGGGGTGCGTGATCGTGGATGCGCACTGCTGAGGAGTCTCATACGAGGACGAAACGGCCGTCCGGTGCTTCCAGGTTTTCCATAGTGGTCTAGCTTCAATTGACCCATGATTTCAATCTGTGAAATTTCTAAAAATCTCCACAAAACACATTCTGAAAATAGATCATTTATTGAAATATCTAGATCACTTGACCGGAACAAGTAGTTCAGATATTCATGTAAGCCATTAGTTTCATTCAACATTACTCGTCTATTTTGAAATGATCTTTGTTTCCAAATTCTATAATACAAAAGAAAGAAAAAAAAACAACCATTCTGTTACGTATTGAGTATATTAATAATCAATAAAATATTGTAACAAAATCAATAATTTTGTGTAGATACGTATGTTCTGTTTGTTTGGGTTTTTGGTTTGTTTCAACATGCTATTCATTATCTTCAATAATCTAATGATTGTAATGATTATAAATAATAATAAATATACTTTGTATATTCAATTAAGTTGACCTTAAATTATTGTGTTTTCAAAGTGTGTATATTGAGGAGTTCTCTCTCTCTCTCTGTGTGTGTGTGCATTACCATTATATTCTCCAAAATAATCAATATTTAAATATATTTTTAATAGTTGAGATCATGAATCAATTGAAGCTAGACCAACATGAAAAACCTGGAAATAATGGACGGTCATTTCGTCGTAGTGTAGGACTTTTTAGTAATGTGCATCCATGATCATACGTCGAGAGATTCGAACACAGGACCTATCAGTCTCGCGCGCTAGCGCCTAACCATTAGACTACTGAGTTGATATTCAACGGTGTTAATGTCTAACTTCAACGGCTGTCCAGTACTTACAAGTTTTCCATAGTAATCTAGCTTCAATTGAATCATCAACTCAACTATTAAAAATTACTAAAATATCCACGAAACTCCTTCTTTTTTAAGTATATATATATCTTTTTTCTTAATGTATACAATTGTATTATGACCTAATATTGCATCATAACTACTGAATACTAAGAGGTATAATATAGTATCTATGTTTTCCTTGTATGAAACGTCTTGACAATAAGAATCTATAATTAAACCTAAGATATTCGGACGACTAGCTTTTAACCTTCAAGATTATTGAATTATTATTCAATGGTTTAAACTTTTGAATTCAATCAGTTAGAGGAATTGAACCGTCAGTTGTTGTTGTTGTTGTTATTGTTGTTTAATTTAAGTCAATTTATTATGTGAATATTCACTTTTTCCTCATAATGAATTATAATTCGATTGTTTAATGTCATAATCAGTATTATTCAGATGGTAACTAAAATATCCGTATGGAAGAAATATAGAGAAATGATTACCAAATGTTTAAGCCATCATCAATTTATTTGCCATTCATTTCTGAAGTACAGGTTTATTGAACTTACCTTAATGTAAATCGTCTGTTTGAATGTCTGTGGTAGTAAACGTTTAGTCAAGTCATATCACTAGTCCTTTAACTCTGTACACAAATCACCAGTTCATAATGACAATAAATATCGATTGACTTAGATTAGCACTATATGACTAAACCAACTTGTGTCCATCGATCTGTTAATTGTAAATATCTTGATTCTACAAGATTTTATGCGTGAACAGGATATCTAAGTGGTAATATCTCAGACTATGAAACTGGTTGATACGAATTTTAATCTCATGGGAAGCACCAGTCCCCTCAAGATCATAGATACGCTTAGCTAATGAGTTCAAACGAGCACTAGACCTAGGCTAATCAAAATTTCAACCACCACCTTACATCTCAACATAATTCCCTCTATGTCGAGTCATTTAGATTAATGACTATATTACAACTTGATATATGGAACTCTATCTCATCACTAACAAGTTGATAAACATGACATCGGTCATTACTCGGTGATCAATCATTTGTTTTTATTTTACCACAAACTTAAATCAACTAATTGCGTTCTACGATGAAAGGGATCATTTGAATAGAACTGATCTTTGCACACTACTTTAATCAATAATCAAAATAAATACTTTGGTCAGTCTAATAATCTTTTGAAGTTAGTATAAGAATATTATTTTGTTGTTGTTATTGTTGTTAAATTGGCTTTATCTAAATTTTCTATCTCAGTATCTTGGACCGTGGTATGAAAATCAACCAAAAACCGGTAATATTAACAATTCCAATATGAATAATAACACTAATAATGTTAACGATGATACATGTGAAAAATTATTGGAAGGAATTGCTGAAGCCAAAAGCACCATTGATTTATTTTTAAATAATCGATTTGAAGAAGCAAAGAATCGTTTACACATGAAGTAATCGGAATCTTTCTTTCATTAAATGACTGTCTCTCTCTCTCTCTTATTAAGTACACATAGTGGTATGTATCAAGAATTATCAAATTCTACAATTTTATTTATTCAAGGAATGGCTACAATAGAACAGGTATGTAGTGATACGTTTTCATTATGTGTTGTATGGTATATATGATCAATTAGCTTATTTTGAATCAAATATTGTATTTTAATGGTTGAATTCACGAATCCATTGAGGAGTCCCAAACTAGGACGAAACGGCCGTCCAATGCCAACCAAGTTTTCCATGGTGATCTATTGACATTATTATGATATCCACAAAACCCCTATCTGATTATAATCATCATATGGTCATTAGTGACTGACTTCATGAGGTATTTACTGGAGTTCTAGTCAGAAGCAGTGACAAGTGGAGTTCAACTGGGTCTGTTATGAGGCAGTGACTCATTGAAGACAGCAGTAGACGATGATGCAATTTCGTGGATTGGTTGAAGTTAGACATAAACACCGTTGGATGCCGGCCGGTTCAGTGAACTAGAGGTTAAGTGTTCGTTCTGGGTTGGAATCCCGCGAGCTAGATCGTGAATGCACACTACTGAGGAGTCTCATACTAGGACGAAACAGTCGTCCATCGCTTCCAGCTTTTCCATGTTGGTCTAGCTTTAATTGACTCATGAATTCAACTATTAAAATACTATAATATTCACAAAACAATTTTCTGATTATAAATGTTCTATTGTTTATCAGCTGATATGAACCCATGTTTTGTGAATAAATATTTAAAGGGTGATATTCACGTCAATATTTCTATCAGTTGAAATGAAATACAAGATTATGAAGTGTACTTAGGCTAAAAAGATTATTATTTCTCAAAATCCCAAAAAGAATATCATCAATTCGTTCAATAGGAATAGTTTGTGAGAACTTGGTCAATCATTATTAGTTCATTTACAATTCCAATATAGATCAACATTATCATAATCAATCATCTGTCAATAGGCATAAATCAAGTTTTTGAATGTTGACCATCATAGAACAATTTTTTTTACTGTCAAACCTTAAGTGTCCTATAAACGAAACAGATTTACATGATTGTCATTATTATGTCTTATATACCGATTTTAACTAACTATTTCAATAACAAATAAAGTCCTGAATTCGTCCTTGGGAGCTATAGTGATTGGGCTTCTCTGGAGAGTCTCTTACCACGAGGATAAATTTGTCAAACACATTCTAGTTTCCAGTGTTTGGCTAACTAAGGTTAATTCATGTAATTGTTAACTACAACAATTGATACAATCCCTATTCACTAATAATAGACATGTGCTCACTTGTAACTGATTCTCATACGTAACTCCCTAAGTTCTTGTCAAGATTTTATTTATTTAAACACATAGACATTGGTACAAGGAGGGCCAAATACATATGCGTCACGTAAATCATTCAATTTGTATGAGGGCTGGGATACTGTCCGGGTGCCCAAATCGAAGCGGGGGGGCGAGACAAGTGGATCTCGACCATGTTGTGAGGAAGGCAGTTACCTACCATTGTGATTGGTCGATCATTCGGTAATATCGCAAGCGGATTTAAGTTACAAATATCAACTAATAGGCCTCGACTTGACAATGTGAAGGTTGACCTCTCGGAGAGACACCTGGGGTTCATGAGTTTGATATCCCGTAGGATTGTGAATGCTCACTACTGAGAAGCTTCATATTAGACTAAAATAGCTATCCAATGTTTGTTATTTCTTAATGGTTGTCTAACTAAGGTCAATTAGCAATGCCAACTATCAATAAATGATATGAGAAGGACTGAAATTGGATAAAAATAAAGTGGTTCGCGCCAAAGTGCATTTTAATAAAATTTAAACAATAGTATTGATACAACCATCACTCATAAATCGTTTATTAGTGAAGAGAGACCCAAACCAAGATGAAACATTAGTCCAATTCTTTCCGATCTCTAGTTTACTTCACTGACAAACAGATCTGATAATCGGCTGTTCTTTGTGTTAACAAATACCATAATCATACATTTTATTTAATGTGCTCTGAGGATAACTTGTACAGGGTAACTGATGCTCTAACTGTTGACGAATACAACTCTGAAGAATGTTGGTTTTTTATTATAAACTGAGATTTACTTGGTGTTTTTTTACTTGTATCTTCCCATTGTTATTTAGGACTGAAACTGATCAGTCTCAAGATACAAGTAATAAAACAACACCAATTGAATTTAAACTTCACCCCATTGCATAAACAGGTGGCTATCAGGACTCAGTAGATAAGTGGATAACGCAATGGCATTTGAAGCGAACGATACTGAGTTCGAGTCCCAGGGTGAACATCAACAAGTCTGTGATGCAGTTACATCCATCTGACGAGTCTCAAATAGGACGAAGTGGTGCGCGTCCTGGATTCCAATGGTTGCTTAAAAAGCTTGAGATTTACTGTATTATAATGATTGGACTAATCAGAGGAAAAATACAAACAAAAGATGATATAACTTTCGATGCAATCCATTAGGAACGTCTGTTGATTATAACTCATCAATAATGAGGTCTTATGTGAGAATACGTAAAAATTGTTGTTCACTAGAGATAGCGTGCTACTCTGATTTACTGAAGTTTGTACTACCATTCTGTGCTTAGATTTTTAAATGTACGTGTGTACTTGTGATTCACGGCTCAAAATTTGTAAAATCTCATAAGACGTTATGCTGAAATTTTATGACCTGGATTGGATTCATTAAAATAGATGGTTTGTTGGATAGCTTCCCATGTCTTTAGAAGGGTCTCATGTAGAGTCACATTCTGGAAAAAAAGCTATTTAGTTTCTTTCTTACTTCAGGGGTATCTAAACCGATGATTTATACTACACTCAAAAGTAATAATCTAAGTTGTAATAGCTTCACATCGCCTTCCTCTTCACAGATCTTTTGATTCATTTAAACATCAACTTTCTATCGATAAAAAGGTTGTCACTTCTTACTAATGAAAAATCTTAACCCACCCCACTTGGAATCAAGCCAAGAAGTTTCATAAGTCACGTGAAACATCATACATCTATATAATTTAATTGTGAAATCATAAATAGACACTGCTATAAACTTTCAAATTATGATTAACCATCTACCCGGTATTTATCGATTTTCAATAGTTCTTCGGCTGATGTTAATCTGTGATATGATTTAGTAAGAATTCATGACTAGTGGAAAATTTTATAATAAGGATAATCTGTAGTTGCTGTATCATGCCAGGAATGAACTGAGATTGACAATATGTACTATTCAATAACAATACATCAGTGGTCAAATGAATAAGTGTTGATTAATTTATTCTCTTGACTCTCATGGAATGCTTCCTTATCAAAAAATGTAGGGATCCAACATCAACAACATCATCATCGTCATCAAATCTTATTGAAAGGTTTCTTATCAAAGTAAAGCAGTTCGACTGGACACTTGTTGTTCTATGTAGTGGGTATTTATCTACAAGATAGTGATTAAGATATAGATATTTTCCAGCAAACTTAGTCTTCTCCTCTATATTTAATAGATGCTTAAGATACAACCTTTTGAAATTTGACTCTATGATGTTTCTGAACATGAAATGGAATATATACATTCTTATAGATTGTTTCATTTTACTACAATTAATACATCTGGATGTTGGAGATTCATAAGTCTAATTCACTATGTGAATGAATAAAATCTGTTGTGGCATAGACCATTGTTTTAGATACTACTCATTGATCACAAATATATTGAAATTACATCATTCATGAACTTTCATGACAATGACAGAAAACCAGAAATTAGAATACATTCATTTTGCCTTCGTATGAGACTCCTCGATCGTGTTTACTGAAGACCACAAAAATTAGTATAGAATCAGGAAGTTACACTATCATGGTAGACACATCACTTTTTATTTATTAACTCAGAGCTCAATAGTCAACTCATCAGTATTGTTAAAAGAAATTCATGTGCTATGTATTAAGTTGATTGAAGTTGGAAATCTGAGGTGTTATATGATAAAATAGGTGTTCTCCAAAAAATCTCTTGTTTATGCTACGCTGGGAATTTACAAACTAGTTAGAAACTGTTGTTTATTGGTCTCTCGCTTGATGTCTTAACGCTAAAAAAAAAGTGCGAATACAACTTTAGTCAACTACCACGAAGCTTTCCTAATAAACATTAAGGTTTATTTTTCCAAAAGATGAGTGGAAGTCAATCTATAAACAATAGTCCGTATATATTACAACTTGATCAGCCGAAATTCCAACACGAATGTTAGCTAAGCAGTATCTTTGTAAATTGAATATGAGCAACATAAATCGGTTATTTCCATCCATGATATCTAGTCAGTACAATACTGATATGTTCTAATAACGTTTTATTTAGATTATTAATTCAAGTACATTCAAGTGAAAAGTTCCATGTAGGATGAAACGTGCTGACTGCTTACTTCATATACTAAAACCTATGACTATATCGAGGTAATCGGCTTAAGAGTCATATAGAGCAACAAAGATCAATCAAATACAGTTGTGAATAGTACCAATGAGCAAATCATAAATTCCAATACACTAATGTTGAGATACACAGAATAACTCACATCTCCTGACAAAGAAAATGACGGAAAATGTGTGATATTGCACCCGTATATTTTGTAATAATAAAAGAACTCACTGAAGACAATGGTGGGTGTGTAACTCAATTTCGTGGATGCTGGCTGAGTGGTCTGATGATTAAGCTCTCGCGCGCTAGACTGATGGGTCCAGGGTTCGTATCTCGCAAGGCGAGATAATGGATACACAGTGCTAAGGAGTCCCACAATAGAACGAAATGGCCGTCCATTGTTTTCAGGTTTTCCATGTTGGTCTAGCTTTAATTGACTCATGATCTCAACCATTAAAGGTAAAAGAGTCATTGATCAAGTATACTAATGAAATCACGTAACAGTTACTAAAATTCTATACACATATACTTGATAGCGATATAATGCACCAATCATTATGTACTGATTTCACAGGCAGACAATTGACTGTTTTTGTTGGGAAACTAATCAGTATAGCTTGTATGATAGTTCAATCAAATGTTTTCTATCGAATAAACTATCTGTCTGTATATGGTTGCCTATGAATTATCTATAACAAAGTAATCAGTGGATTTAATAGATCAATTCAACTATTTGTTCAAATAACCGTATGTAGTTGGTTGGAAAAAAACTATTGAGGAATTCCTAGTAATACGTAGGATTAACTCAAAAACAAAATGCTTGATAATTTGGCATGAGTTGTGTGATACAGTACATTAGGGTAAACTGTTAGACAAAATGAATATACAACTTCTGTTCTCCGAATGTATCAATAATGTGATTACATTGTCAGTGAGATCGGATATTCAGATTTAGTGGTGTTATTTCCGGATAGATGTGACCTTTTTATTTGTATATTGACATAGTTTATTTGTTTCAATTATATACTATAACAAATATAGATAGTTCGATTTGGAATTAATATCAGAGGGGGTTTGTGTGGATGTTAGTTGAGTCTAGTGAAGCTAGATCACTATGGAAGACCTGAAAGTACTGAACGGCCGTTTCGTCCTACTGTGAGACTCCTATTTGAAATTATCATTACCAGGGAAGTCCTACTCACTGCCTTCTCGTGGCGGGGGAGTTGTTTACGAAATTGAGAGGACGAAAGGCGAATGTCCAGTGTTTCAACCGGGTTGGTGCACGTGGAGACTCCGCCTAGGGAAGTTGGAAAACCACAACTCAAAACCAATTGTGCACATCGGTTCTAGTACCCCGAGGGAACATATGGCGTATGAACCAATCGTTGGTCACCGGCTACCATGGGACTGCATCTCCTAACGATGCTCCACTGGCTTGTGGATCAAACCTCCAGGTCGAAGGGTCCGGGTGTGGCCCCCTAAGATAACCACCTGTTTCGGTTTGCGCACCCGGTCAGTATTACAGCCCTCACACGTATCGAATGAGATCTGTGTGACGAATATGTATTTGGTGCCTTCTTGTACCAATATCTATGTGTTAAAATAAAAATAAAATAAATCATTTTTAGAATAATGATAAGGATAAAGATTTTTAATTTCAATCGGTTGATAAATTTCCCACCTTTAACATGGCTCAACTCCATGGATAAAGACTTGGAGAGAGGGGAATTTATCTCAACGTAATTGAGTATTAGTCAAAGTAGTTGAACCATGTCAGGAGTTAAATACTTGTCGACAACGATTGAAGTTAACAGTTTTGTACCGTTGAATTTCAACCAAATAATCTAATGGTACAGTGTTCCTTATGATAACAGTCGGTTCTAAGTTTATCCACAAGATAGATCGTAGACAACTATCCAACAGTATCTAACTATCAATCTTATTCAAAACCAAAGAAACAAGATCAATCTGTGATCAATATCAAACTTTTTTTTCTATCTTTTTCTTCTAGGAAAATCTTGAAACCGCTAAAGAACAATTAAAAACAACACTTAAAGCATGTCAAGCAAATCGACGTAAAGCAGCTATTAGTGAAACATTCACTAAACAAATTGAGAAAAGTCGTAATATCATTTATAGTTTATATACAGATGGTAAGTCATTTCATTCATTATTTCTATGAATCAATCAGTAATTATTGTTTGTTTTTTTATTATCATGGATTGATATTAACTATGAAAATTAAAGATTATTGGATACATGCTTTTTATATGAACATGTAGTGACTTGCTTACTAACTTAAACCTGTTACCCCCCAAAAATGGAAGAGGATAGGCTGTCAACCAGCATTCTCTAATCCAATCTGTCCTAGGCCATCTTTTCTAGTTCTATTCAATTGTTGTTCATTCTCCTCATATCTGTCTCCATTTTCAATGTAATGTGTTTTTTAGTCTTCTTCTTTTAACTTTGGCCTTGAGGATTCGAAGTGAGGGATTGCCTTGTGACACAGTTGGGTGCTTTCCTGAATGTGTGTCTTATCAACTTCAAGCGCTTCTTCCTGATTTCTTCCTCTGCTGGGATCTGGTTTGTTCTCTCTCACAGTAAGTTGTTGCTGATAATGTCTGGCCAACACAACTGAAGTGTTTTGCGTAGTCAACTGTTAATATGATGATGACTTTTGTAGTTCTCCAAGTTTTCTCCTCATAAAATAGAACTGTCTTGGCATTTGTATTGAAAATTCTGACTTTGGTGTTGGTTGACAGAGAGGCATTTTGACTTCCAAATGTTCTTCAGCTGTAAATATACTGCTCTTGTTTGTCCGATCCGCGCCTTCACATCTGCATCAGATCCACCGTGTTCATCAATGATGCTGCTCAGATATGTAAAGCCTTTTACATCTTCCAAATCTTTCCGTCAAGTGTGATTCGATTGCTACATGCTGTGTTGTATCGGAGAATCTTGCTTTTCCCTTTGTGTATATGGAGACCTACTGCTGCTGAGGCTGCTGCCACACTGGTTGTCTTCTCCTGCATTTGTTGTTGTTGTGTGTGTGATAGAATAGCCAGATGAGCTGAGAAGTCTAGATCGTCCAGCTGCATCCTAGTTGTCCATTGTATCCAATGCTTCACTCCAGATGTTAACATGTAGTATTTCTCAATATTACGCATTCATGATTCTAACAAGTATCGAACTTAAGTTAATATGATCAAGAGATGATTATGGATATATCTATGACTTATTTGAACTGAATATCTTTTATTTTAATCAGTTCAATTCCACGCTGTTTTCACGGCGAGATTATAGTTGATGGATGAACCAATCAGATCTACGATAACAGATCTAGGATTTTGGTACGCGATTCATGCACTCATTTGGCTAAATAGAGTTTTGGCATTATAGCTAATGTCAATTCATGATGAAAACCCTAAAATCTAATTCCTAACTTTTAATCATCTACTGCGAATCATAATTCAAATCCTTCGCACAGCTTTATAATCCTCATACGGTCTTAGTGATTAATTGGATACTGTCAAAATCAGTTTATCGTCAATCAAATGTCATTCATAAATTCTAGTCTCATCACATTGTATTTTTGTTTTTTGTTTCTTCAATTTTCTAGAACAGGCTCATGCTGAACTTTGTTATGCAGAAGGTTTACTTCAATTGGCATTTCTTTCAATGTTACAAGATGAAAAATTAACAAGTCTTATAAAATGTTCTTTGAAAATAAGACAATGTTACAAATGTTACCGGTTAGTTAATTTACAAAATGTAAATGTTAATGAATTGAAGATCATTATCAGTGGGTTATTTACTTTGATTTCTGATGAGTTTTGAATGTTTTAACGCTTGGTTTTACTTCGTCTAATGCTATAACAGTTGGTTTTTCAACGTTTACACGTATGAGATGTTAATTTATCTTAGACGTATATCTTCATTAGATTCCTTCCCAATGTTCATTCTACAAGACTTCAACACAACTCAGTTGATCAAGAACACGTGATAAGCCTGACCACAATGTAGTTCTATTTTCATCACATAACAAGGAACAATCAATAATAATAATTATAAGGATAAGGGAATATATAACTCATCTGACATCTATCAGACTATCTACATGTCTGACTAAGCAGAAAACCGATCATTATCATTCTCTCCCACACACCATTTCGATTATTATTAATGACTTATATGACAGTGATCACCTCTCGACGTGGATATCTTACATAAGCTGAGTGTCTTTCTGGACTTGACTAACTTAACAGCAAAATCTAACCGTGGAAGTGAGTAATGAGGATCTGAGCTTTACTAATGTATTAACCAACAGGAAATAGAGGTTAAGCTAGAATTCCTGTCAATTATTTCCGAAGATATGATATTCACACATGATTTACGCGGTTACTGGCCACCTATATTGAATTGTACTTGGTTTGAATAACAGTTGAAAATAACTCCCAACATCAATTTATTGAATTCCAATTATAGACCGTTGAGTACCAGTTAAGAATTCCGATAAGTTTATCAAGTCTGTTTAAGGCTAATTAGAAAGTGAGAGTTGATGAGTTTATGCTATTTTTGAAAACTCGACCTCATTAACTGGGGGACACAGACGCTGTTATTTGAAATTTGGTTTAATTTACCTTACTTACTTACTTACACCTGTTACTCCTCGTTAAGGAGCATAAGCCGCTCACCAGCATTTTCCATTCAACTCTGTCCTGGGTAATCCTTTCCAGCTCTTTCCAGTTGTTATTCATCCTTTCCATATCTGATTCTATTTCACGACGTAGTGTGTTCTTTGGTCTTCCTCTTTTCCGTTTCCCTTCAGGATTCCAAGTCACGGCTTGCCTCGTGATGCAGTTTGATGATTCGTGTAATATATGTCCTATCCATTTCCAACGTCTTTTCCTAATTTCTTCTTCAGCTGGAAGTTGGTTTGTTCTCTTCCAAAGAAGGCTATTGCTGATGGTATCCGACCAATTTAATTTACCTTAGGGAAATATATCTGTATTTATAAAAGAATTCATTCACATATTGTGTATTCACTCTATCGAATACAGTTTCTTGGTCTTCTGGTTCACATATTAGGCTTGGTTGTTAAACAAACGTTGAATCCTGTTTGATCATCTATATTAGTCTTAAGGTTGTATAGATTTTTATCTTCTATATGATTGAGGTATTCAAGATTGGTCAGTCTCTGAGTAGTAATTAGTGTTATAACCATCTAAACTTTAAGTACTAACCTTATTATATCGGTCAAGACGTGGTTACCAGTCTAATGGCTCAACATTGTGTACACAATGTTGGAATACTATACGGTTTCAAGTAGTCGGATTGATACTCTAGTCTATAAATGTGAACAACAATGAAATCTTGTCATTTTACCAACTACCTGGAACTGCTAAACATCTAAGAGTTTATCATTAGTGTAGGAGTAGATTGGAAGAAAGTTAGGGACGGCCAGACAAAAACATGACACAAATCCATGAAGTCACTGACAAGTGGACTGAGCTATGTTGGTGGGTATAGACTACCTGGTTGAGATCCGCGAGACGATAGCAACCGATGGTTAGAGACCTTGAATGATATGGCAGAAAATCGTTTACAATGTCGTAGGTGCATCCACTCCTTGTGTTCTCCTAAATTCTAATCTTCTGAATTCTCCATGTCCCTTTTCTTTTTTCTCTTTCCAAATATTTTTCACTGGATTATACTGCTTGGATAACATCTTCAAACCCTAATCGTCCCGATTACTCCTTATGCTTTTACTACCTTTACCACTATGAGATTTGAATTGACAATTGTATCTCTGAGCTAATGTGATATGACAACTCGAACTGATATACGTACGCAAGTACGAAGTTCTATGTTGTTGCTGACTGACTGACTGATTGATTAGTGATAACTTCAGATAAGATCAGCAACTGATTTTGTATCTAATACCATGCATCAACTCATCACTAAATGTTATATCATCCAGTACATACAGTATATCATCCAGCACATTTAACGGTGTAGATAGGAGAATGCTATGGAAGCTTCTCCGACATTACGGAGTTCCTGAGACGATTTTCAACATTATCTGGAACTCATACGACGGATTACAGTACACACGAAAAAATGCAGATAAAGACAACCAGTGTAGCAACAGTCTCTGCATCAGTAGGCCTCAACATACACAAGGGGAAAACCAAGGTCCTCAAATTCAAAGCGGAGAACAGCGATCCGATCACTCTTGATGGCGAAACTCTGGAAGATGTAGAATCCTTCACATACCAGGGAAGCATCATCGATGAACAAGGAGGCTCGGATGCAGACGTAAAGGCGAGGATTGGCAAAGCAAGCGTCGCATTCCTACAATTGAAGAACATATGCAACTCAAAACAACTTTCAACCAATATCAAAGTGAGAATCTTCAATACGAACGTCAAGGCAGTTCTACTGTATGGAGCTGAAACTTGGAGAACTACAACAACCACAATCAAGAAAGTACAAGTATTTATAAATAGCTGTCTACGCAAGATACTCAACATCCATTGACCGGATACCATCAGCAATAGCCTTCTTTGGAAGAGAACAAACCAACTTCCAGCTGAAGAAGAAATTAGGAAAAGACGTTGGAAATGGATAGGACATATATTACACGAATCATCAAACTGCATCACGAGGCAAGCCGTGACTTGGAATCCTGAAGGGAAGCGGAAAAGAGGAAGGTCAAAGAACACATTACGTCGGATAATAGAATCAGATATGAAAAGGATGAATAACAACTGGAAAGAGCTGGAAAGGATTGCTCAGGACAGGGTTGGATGGAAAATGCTGGTGAGCGGCTTATGCTCCTTAACGAGGAGTAACAGGCGTAAGTAATTAAGTTAGTACATATGAAAAATATTCTGCATAAATGATATGATACAATGTTTATATTCCTTTCTTTTTTTAATTTCTTATTTATCATTGTTGCTGTTTATTTATTGACTAGTACAGAATATGTTGGAGAATATTAAAATATCGAAATTGGCAAAATGAAATTAGTAAATCAGCTTTTGAAAGTGGTGTACATTTAGGTGTTGGAGCTTTTAATTTAGTAAGTAATGATATATATTTATAACAACACATATAAGTGAACAATTTTGTTTTCAATTAGATCGTCATCAGGCTTTACTCTAATATACATGAATATTTATACGAAAATTTTAAACCAATCAAGGCAATATGAGTTCTAGATATGTACAATTCTCCTTACCACAAAATCGCAAAGTGGCTAGTACGAATCCTAGAACCTTTACACAAATCAGTTGTTAGAAATAGTGTAAAAGATGTCTTCAACTTCATCTCCAAAGTAGAAAATATTAATGTCAGTATGAAAAATATGATCTCATTGGATGTAGAATCTTTGTTCACCAACGTACCACTTATAGAGACTATTGATTTTATATGCAAGCAAATATCAAAGAAACATATCAACATTGGCCTGCCTAACGATAGCCTAAGGGAACTGCTCCTAAGATGCACTCTGAATGTACATTTTGTCTTCAACAATACTTACTATAGACAAATAGACGGGATAGCCATGGGCTCGCCTCTAGGCCCGATTTTAGCTGACCTCTTCCTAGCAAAGCTAGAAAACGGACCTCTCAATGAGACTATTAAGAAACTGGATTTATATTGCCGATACATTGACGACACATTCATTATCGTAGACCAAAACACTAGTAAAGAGGAACTCCTAGACCAATTCAACAGTGTTCACCCAGCGATCACCTTCACTGGTGAAAGCGAGCATGATAAGAAGCTGAGCTTCCTTGACGTCACGCTAAGCAGACGAAGTGACGGCACATTAAGTAGAAGCGTGTATAGAAGAAACCCCTCTTCATGCCAATATACTCACTTCTGCAGTTTCACACCCATCCGGTACAAGAGAAATTTGGTCAGATGTCTCACGAGCAGAGCAAAAAAGATCTGTACAGTAGACACTCTAAGTCAGGAGCTTGAATTTCTCAACAACTCACTGACCGAGATCGGCTACCCCAGCGCGTTCATCAAGAAATACATGCAGGATATAATAAAGAAGTCGGAGATTTCGACTGTTCGTAAGAAACCTTTATACATGAAAGTGCAATTCAACGGGGATGTGGCTAGTGACACTCTGAAATATAGGTTAACCAGAGTAATCACCAAGACATTCTACGCAGCCAATCTTGCGTTGACCTTCTCTTGTCGACCAGCGATGTCTACTCAAACGAAGGATAAGTTACTTGAGTTGGCCTCTTCTATGTGCATTTACAAATTCAGCTGCTCCTGTGGAGATAGCTATATAGGGCGTACTACCAGGCAACTTAACCAACGAATGAGTGAACATCTACCAACTTGGTACATAAAGGGTCAGAGAAAAACTATTCGCAGTTCTATACTAGCACATCTTATTGATAGCGGTCATGCAGTAGAGAAATCGAAATCATTTCGAGTTATCTATCGTATACCTCCATCATTTCCCGACGGAGTCCGTTCCCGTCTCCTACATATAGCTGAAGCCATTGGAATTCGTACATATAACCCTAATTTATGTGTACAGAAGAAATTCGTAACACCCCTATCACTTCCATGGCCAGTTATAACTTGTTTATTATTTATTTTTTTATTTTATTCTATTTTGTTATCATTAACCTTGTATTCTTCACTATCTGATTATTTACACACATCTTATTACGTAATGATGTTAATGTTTTGGTGTTGACTATTCCTAGTCTATTTACCCATGTTTGTTTGACCTTCTATTTCCAACGATTAACTATTGATAAGAGTTTTGTTTTGAAAAGAGCAAGAACAAAGATTCTTTTCAAAATGATAAAGGGAACTATGTGTATGAAAGAGTTTTGTTATTGTAGTTTATTATTCTTACCACTATCTGTTCACCTGTCTTCGTACTATCAACTTGTACTTTTACCTATTTTATGTGTAGTGACTTATTCTATTTCATTGTGATTATTGACTCATATTGCCTTGATTGGTTTAAAATTTTCGTATAAATATTCATGTATATTAGAGTAAAGCCTGATGACGATCTAATTGAAAACAATTGTTCGCTTATATGTGTTGTTCTAATTTTCACAATGGGAATCTTTAATATATTTATAACTCGATAAGTTGGTCGATATTGAAATCCGTGGAAGGGTCTAGTCATTGAAATATTGATTATGTATTGAATCTATGTAGACGTGAGCAAATAATTTTTGTCATTTTTCCATCCCAGAGTAATTGTGCTGTGTTTCTTTGTGGAGTTCGTAATTGTTTGAGGGTATCGGTCGAGTGGGTGATTAGCCCGATCTCTACCACCCGGGTGATCCCTCACGTTAGTTCATGAGTCATTCGGCACGACGCGGAAGTACGAGTCGGGTTTTAACTCCTGAGCAAATAATTAGTATGACTAATTATTACATAATGCAATTATTGTTTTAACGTTAAGTACAAGATGATATACATAGTGACTATTACGTCTCTTTATTGGAGTATGTAACACTAATGGAAAGTGGAAAATCTGGTAGCAGATGTTTGGAAAGATTGAATAGAAGAGAATGGAACAGAGAGTAATGGATATGGAAATGAAGAAACAATAAAGTCAAAAACAAAGGACTATTATTATTATTATTATTACTATAGTTAATATTTTCCGAATCCAAGAGCTCACTTACTATGCGATATTAACTAGAGTTTCATCAGTTTACCGGTGGTTTTGTCTTTGAAAACCTACTCGTTTGGGTGTATATGTTTTGAATAAATGGATAGATAATCATATAATCTCATTAGTAGTATCTATAATGACATTGTTTAATTAATGAATCAATTAAAGCTAGATCATCATAGGAAACCTGGAAGCACTGGACGGCCATTTCTTTCTGTCATGGGACTCCACAGAAATACGCATCCATGATCCTACTCATGAGATCCGAGTTTAGGACCTGTCGGTCTGGTGCTCGAACACTTAACCTCTAGACCACTGAGCCGACTAGCATCCAATGGTGTTAATGTCTAACTTCAACCAATCCATGAATTCAACTATTAAATTACTAAAATCTCCAATGAACTCCATTCTGACAAGAAAAATTGTTTATTGTTATCTGTTCCAAAAGAAATAAAAACTAAATTTATATAATTTTTATGATCACTTTTTTATAGATGATCTCCATGCTTCCTAGACGTGTATTGAAATTATTGGAATTTGTCGGATTCTCCGGAGATCGTGTATGTTATGAATGATATTTTGTTGTTCTCTCTTTCTCTTTGCTTTTCTTTGTAACTTGATCTTAGTTTTCATGAAGTGTATTTCCTTGACATCTTCATTCGGATTGAATGATAATGTGAATTGTCCAGATTCCAGCTCAATGGTTCTGACAGAGTTGTTAATGCTCATTACCGTAAAATTTTATCTTAACATGAAACAACTGTCAAGTTTTCTGTAATTTCATTAGTTGACATCATGAGTCAATTGAAACTAGAACATCATGGAAGACCTGGGAACACTAGACTGCCGTTTCACCCTAGTATGGGACTCCTCTGTGGCAGTGCGCATCCACGATCCCGCCTCGCAAGGTTCAAAGCCAGGACCTATCAGTCTGGTGCACGAGCGATTAACCACTAGATGGATGCTAACTGCTTAGGAATCTCATACTAGAACGAAACGGCTGTCCAGTGCTTCCAGGATTTCTATGGTGGTCTAGCTTCAATTGACTCATGATTTCAACAAATGAAATTTCTAAAAATCTCCACAAAACCCATTCTGATAAAAATATAAATTATTAATTCGAAGCTAAATTGATCAAAATGTGTTTCTACTAGGAATGAACTATGATCATAAAACTGTTTACTTTAACTGTCATAAACTCCTATTAAGTAATATAATAAGTGAATAAAAAATTAATTACATTATATTTACATATATAATAATTACTTACTTACTCTTGTTACCGATGGTGGAGAAGCATAGACCACCCACAAGAATTCTTCTTCAAATACCGTCCTGGTCAATCCTTTTCAGTTGTTTCTAGTTGCTATTCATCGTTTTAATGTCTGTTTCCAATTCTCGACGTTGTGTGTTATTCAGCCAGCCTTCCACTTTTCTGTTTCTTTTCAGGATTTTAATTTAGTGTCTGCTTTGTCATACAGTTTGATGATTTTCGTAATGTATGTCTTATCCACTTCGAGTGTCTTTTCCTAATTTACTCTTAAAATGAAAGTTGGTTTATTCTCTCCCACATAGGAATATCACCTTTTCCTGTCATTAATTGACATATTCTTTATGTTATTTCACATGTAATAAAGTAAATTTGAAAGATTGAAGACATCAAGCAACATCCCTAAAACACTAGCCAAATTATTAATACTTTGACTTTGGCCCCTTGATATTTAGTTATCAATGTAATCTATCTAGACTATTATGTAATACTGAAATCAATGGACAGGAGGATATCATATGTAACCAAAAGAAATTGAGTATGCAATGAGTGTACATAATCGAATAATAAAGTAAGGGGCAAGACTATCATTTATGGACGAACCAGTCAAATATAAGATAATACGTCTGAGTTTTCGGCGCGATGTTCATCTATCCATTTGGTTAAATATCGTTTTAGCATATTAGCTGATATTGGTTCTTGATAAAAACCCTAAATCTAATTCCTAACCCCTATCCATTAACTTTAAATCATAATTCTAATTCTTCACACTGGTTTATAACCCTTATTTGGTTCTAGTTAGTAAGTGGACATCCTACAACAAATGAGACTAATAAGAAGTTCCTTTACATGTGATTGTAGTAATCAAATGAATTGTGGATCTTGTACAGATTACCGTCATGATGTTGTCTTTCGATGTAATATGTGCTGGAGGAAGAAGTCTCCTAGAATAGGACTTTCTTCGCTCGATCGAACCGGAGTGCACGCAAACAATATTAAAGTTATGTAGTCGAGGTTGAAAGAGTTTTTGTGACCTTATCATGGCTCCAGAAGCGATTATTGTGAAGCCATATGGATGATTTTCTCTACTGCATGTATTACGATTTTAGAACCTGTGAATCTCTTTCTAACCTTGACGAGTTTTTGAACCATGTAAAAGAAGTGTATTCGCTTAAAGTCAAACCCACAATTTTTAGGTCATGCAACAAGAGGTTAACCATAAAAGCCACGGATCCGACAAAAAAAATGTACAATTCTAACTTCAACAAGTTTGTGATGAAGCTCATAGATCAACCATTGCTATTGTCAACACTAGTTTCATCTAAGATATGTCTGAATTCCACAAGTAACAAGTTCTCACAAGAAGTGTGGGAACATTTAAAAGGTAGTATTGGGATGACCAGTTGTAAGTACACACTAATAATTAGTCGCATACTGAAACGAAATATCTATCTAAGGCTCTCTGATTTTAAATGCTATCCCAAGTAAAATCTGAGATGAATACGCTTGACACATCACCTGACTTGTTTTATTTGCATAAAATCTTCAAACACGCTAAATGTTTTCATCTTCAATCACCTGTTACACAGAGAGGCTAAATTTCATAGGGCATATTCAATCGTTCTTGGATCTAAATACTTCATCTTACATTTTTTATCGGTTAATGTTCAAAACTGTTTTGAAAAGGAATGATTTTGTTGGAGTTATGTTCTCTGAGCTAGATGGTTTGGTCGTGGGACTTTCATCGTTCTTCTGAACGACATCATCAGCACAAATTTCAGGTAGAAATGAATGTGTGTGTGTATGAGTTTGTTGGTGTTATTGATCAGTTTAATGTTATATCTTTCGACAGGACATCATTTCATTTTGATTAGATTACACTTCATTTTCTATGTATTCAGCAATTCGGTTTAGAACAACTTAGAATGGGTGCAGGAATGAAAGATTCATTACGTGGTCCGCTATGTGCTCTATTATTATTAGCATATGATTTATATGCTACTCATATGTTAGGTAAGTAATATTCTAACATAATGAAAATTTTTATTGTCAACATTGAATAAGTAAAATTTATTTCCCTCTTGATAACTAGACAATTACAATGATGCATCTAATTAAAATAAACATCAACAGAGAGGAGAAGTTATTGAATGAGTGAAACGAAGTATCTTAAATAGTTGGATAGGAGTCAACCACTGGTTTACATAATAAGATAATTGGATGCAGTGAAACTAGGTATATCTGTGCTTAAATTTACTTTTGAATAGTCACATATAGTTATGTATAGAAAATAATGTAAGTTGATTAGCTGAATTAAAAAAACGGCCATTCTGCGATTAATAATACAGGTTAAAACCTTCATTTGAATATCAACAAAACTATCTCTTCATTTATTTTAATAGACTTGTTGTAACGCGTGTGTGTGACTGCAGGTTTTTGATAAGCAGCGTTATTATTGATCGCGATCTGTGGCAGTGACACGGAAAACACGTACGGACGACCTAGTGCCTGATTGGTCCTGCTTCCCTGTATAACCCAGCCAGTTGAGTCCAGAAGACAAGTCACAACCTCTGAGATATGAATCACTATATTTCAAACATACTTTGTTATATACCAGTCAAGCATACCACAGCGTACCATAAAATAGAAAAACAACATTTTGTACAAGTGAACAGATATCGACCAATAGGAAATCCCATTTAAAGACCAAGGACACCATTGGACTTAACATGATAATTATTGGTCTATTCCTGCGCATCCACAACACCTCCCCTTTTTTTTGAAGATCCGGAGTTGATATCCGGACTTTGAAATTTTCTGGGTCCATCCTCCCCCACGAAATAACGTTGGGTCCTCATATACCCAAGCAACAGTTAGTCTGATTCGAATTAAAGCATATTTCGCGCATTGAGTAGAGGGTTCACTAAGACTGACTAGATGATGAGGATTAGCGACACCAGACATGAGGTCATTAAGGTTTGATTCTTGTGAAACATATTCATCAGACCTCTTCAAAATTCCAGTGGGTAATAGGTCACTAAAATAGACAGCATCTTCGAAATTTGTATTTGATTTCTGACCATTATTTGATGCACGGGAAACATTTTCTGGCACGAGAGGTTCTTCTTGTAAGCTGGATACCTCACATGTTTCAGGCACAGTGTGATTTGAACCCACAACAGGGCATGCTTCTGAATTGGGCACTTCTGGATCGCTGGACGGATTATGAGCGACTGCCTCATTTGCATTACTGATCATAAGGGATTCATAGAGGCTGTTGTTTTTATCTTCATATGTCCTGCAGTCATTCTCGAGTTCAGTTTGTAAGTGAGAAATGAAGTCATCAGTTTCTTTCACATCTCCGAAACATGGGAGATCTAGCAGTCGCGTTCGTAAATAGTCCAAAACACGCTGTTGCTGGCGATATAGTAGTAGCTGAAATTGATCGGGAAGGCTAGTCATTTCCTGAGTCAGCAGGGTAATGAGAAATACTGTAATGGATTAACAACCAATGATTCCCAAGGACGCCGATGACAAATCTGGATACTGATTGGTCAAAATAATTATGCTGAATCTCGTCCAGTTAGAGGGTTCAAAATTTTCTCTACCCCGTCGCCAAATTGTTGTAACGGGTGTGTGTGACTGCAGGTTTTTGATAAGCAGCGTTATTATTGATCGCGATCTGTGGCAGTGACACGGAAAACACGTACGGACGACCTAGTGCCTGATTGGTCCTGCTTCCCTGTATAACCCAGCCAGTTGAGTCCAGAAGACAAGTCACAACCTCTGAGATATGAATCACTATATTTCAAACATACTTTGTTATATACCAGTCAAGCATACCACAGCGTACCATAAAATAGAAAAACAACATTTTGTACAAGTGAACAGATATCGACCAATAGGAAATCCCATTTAAAGACCAAGGACACCATTGGACTTAACATGATAATTATTGGTCTATTCCTGCGCATCCACAACAAGACTTTACCGTATGGTAGTATTATTCTCACCCAACTAATTAGCGGAAGCCTTTTGACTCTTCAAGATAGGACGAGAACCTTGCAAAGACAGTGGAACTGGAACATTGAAGAAAGCAAAGTAAACGCATACTTTATAGTTTACTCAGTAGTTTTTACGTGTAGTTAGGGATTTCCACATCTGGAATGCAGGAGGATGCGTTACAGTCCACAATGGTCTGTAGTGTAGATGGATACGTTATAGTTTACACTTTCCTGTCACTTTTGGAATCTTGTAAAGCATTTTAAACGTGTGAAGAGCTATAATGAATACGCTATTATGGAATATGGTTCTATCGCAAGTGTATGTTACACATATCTATAGAATCCACATATCGTTGATACCTACATCTTACAGTACACACATTGACATAGGTGCAAGCTGTCTAAAGTATATGTCACATGCATATATAGAATGTATAAATCAAGGCCCATACACTCAATGTTACACACATAGGGATAGATGCTCCCACTCGCAAGTATAAGTAATTTAGTTTTATAGTATACACATAGGTATAGATGTGATGACCTCAGTCTATAGCCTAGTCGCTTCCAAACACTGAATGAATATCAAGTAAATAAATCAATTCGGAAATAATTCGTCATGTACGATATTTTTTCATCACTTTCATACCACCAGTAGTTTTAGTATCGACTCGTAAGATCTCGTCTCGGCAAAGTTTATGACCTTGGCGGGAATCTACGGTGAAATGGTAAACTGATTACAATTTTTGAGTGTGACCCATGACACTCTCTGACATGGATCATTTAGTAATTAATGCAGTAAAAAAACATACGATCTAAGAAAACTTATTCTTTTGACATATCTGTGGTAGGACATAACGTATCTCAAACAGTAGGTATTTGTAACCAGATGTGATTATCTATAATACCATTGATGTGTTTGATGTGTAAACTTAATACATTCAGTTAGATATAACGAGTTTAATCGGATGAACATGTTAGAATATGGCACATATATACAACATAAATACTGTTATATCCCGATGAGAATAATGAATGGTAACTTCTGGAATCCATTTATGGACCAATACTAAACGTGTATTTCTATTGTATAGTTGTTAAATAACTAAACTGTTCATATTCATCTTTCTCTTATTATAAGCTCTATTTTGACCTATGAACTATTATTATGCGATTTACCATTCTTGAGTTATACGTAGTCAATCAATTATTATCTCCCACATTCACATCCACTTTGGGCTAGATTTTGTACAAATGTTATTTCCTATTTTATGGTACGCTTCAAATAAACGATTCATATATCAGAGGCTGAGATTGGTGTTCTGGACTTAACTGGTTGAGCTAGTCAAGAAGCAGGACCATGAAGGACTGTAGACTGCTCGTGCGTGTTTTATGCGTTATTGGTTCGATCGATAATTCATTGCTCTCTAATTGGTGGTATCATCACGTTATCCATTACCAGGGCACACAGGTCACAAGTGATAACAAATACAGCGAGATGAAATTAACATGACAAATAACAGATTAATAGAAGTTATGACATTATCATCAATGGTAGTAGAGTAACAATATAACTCAAGAAGTAAGAATACCTTTATGAAGTACTAAGTTGAAAATAATTTTACAACTTAAGATTGAATTTATCCACCCTTATATGATCCATTCCAAGTCTTATAACTTAACATCTTTATATTTATCAGTGACGATAATTGTGCTGATCTAAATCAAAGGGTTGACACTGATTAATATAACACATTTCAACTTCTTTCAAGAAGTAGATCAATAGATCAATATCACCACTTGATCTAATCATCTTTAACTTCTATTCAATTCACTCTTACATCAGAAATTACTGTATATTGACTTAGTTAACTATGTATAAAGATCATTTGCACAATTGAATGACTTTAATTATATAACCAATTGAAAACCATTACATTTTAGAATAAGATTTTAATCAAATTGGTTCTATGTATACAATTTATATACATTTGTAGGTGACAGTGTTGTCAGTGTATGTAAGTTAAATGATTTTAATGATTATGATCTTCTAATTGATTGTTTATTGAATATTGTAATGAACTGAGAACATCAAGTGGGGATTAATCGAATGTATTTGAATACAATTTTACACAGAGAGAGTATCTTAGTAGTATCTAAGATGTATACAGTAAATACTTTATTTCATTCAATCAATTGTCTTAGACTTCATTGTTTATTCGTCTCTACACCAATTATTCTTTGTTCTCATTCTCTTTTCTTCGATTTCTTTAACCTTCACCCACCAATCATTTCACTTTCGATTAATGATACTTACTACTTATATCTGCCAATATCAGTAGCACTATTAAAAATCAAGCATTAAAGAATAAATATTTCATTTTAGCTTGAAACTTGTTCACAATCTGTACGAAGGAGATTGAATTGAAATTGAACTAAGTTTCAGAGTTAAGGGTCATATCTTTAAGTTATTGTATATAATAGTTCAATTAGTGATATTAAACTTTGATTAATTTACAATGAAGCGTGGTCATCATCTACTATCCATCATATTCTACTACTATTCTCTCATGATGTCTTATGATAACTTCCAAAAATCTATTTCATAGTTAGGAATCATCTGGTAAATTTGTATCATTATTAGTTTATACTAAAAATTGGTTTTCTGCTGATCATAATAACTTTTAGAAAGCTTATGAATTAATCCATTTAGGTCGAAGAACACATATTCACCAAAAGTATCTACCATCTCATTAGTAGTATATTCTTGTGTTGATTAAAGATGGATAGTGGATAACAATGGGATCTAGGACTCGTGTTTCGTCCTATTTATGGCTCGTCAGCTAGATGTACCTGCATCGTAGAGTTGATGTTCACTCCGGGACTCAAATCCAGTATCGTTCGCTTCAAACTCCATCGCTTTATCCACTAATCTACTGAGTACTGATTGCCACCTGCTTGTGAAATAGGGTGAAGTTTAAATTCACTTGGCGTTGTTTTACTTAAGTAAGATGCACTTACACCCGGCTGATGAGTCCCAAATAGGACGAAACGCGCGTCCTAGATTCCACTGCCAGCCACCATCTATCTTTGCTTAAAAAGCTTATGACTTAAAGCTATATCAAGGCAATCCACACAGAATGCACATATGCCAACATGAAAATGATCAATTTCAGTCCTAAATAACAATCGAAAGATACAAGTAAAACAACACCAAGTGAATTGTTGTATTGATTAGTTTATATACTTCCTAAAAACTCTGTTCAATGACATTTTGGTGTATGCTACTTATTTCGACAGACATACGTATTATGTAACACCATTTAGAAATTGAATGCCTAGTAGCACAAGGTTAAGAAGATCGAGTTGAACAGAATAATAAAAATAATATAGAAAATCATGAATTAGAAGAATCATATAGAATATGAAGTACAATTGATGGAAGATTTATAATTGAAGTATTTAATCTATGATTTTTATAGTTTATTAATGAACTCCATAGTTTTATGTTAAATAGTAAATTGGTTATAAGGAGATGGTTGGAGGTAGTCAACAGGAAACCCTTGGCACTTGTCAGAAAGGTGTACCTGTAATCTTGAGGGAACTGGTGCTCCCTGACGGATTCGATCCCGTCTCACCCAGCCTCACAATCAGATGCCGGACTTGACACACATGACATTGATCACCACCCAGTGATCAATCAATTGTGATTACATCACAGTCCTACAGGAGGTCGGTCGCGGACCGGATAGCCTAGTGGTAACGTCTGATTGTGAAGCTGGGTGACATGGGATCGAATCCGTTAGGGGACATCAGTTCCCTCAAGAATGCAGATACACCTTACTGACGTGCGCCAAGTAGCAAGAAAGAAATTATTTAATCATTCGTATTGCAGTAAATTTTATAAAAGTTTTATTGTCAGATGATTTAAGATAGACTGGAAGAAACTATAGATCAACGTTTTGTATTAGATAGGACTGATCAATAATGACTACCATAAATTTTGAAGGAACTAATTCTACCTGTTAAAGTCGAACAAGAACCTTTCTTATTTATTCATGTACATCATATTTATTTTGTTCCTAATATGTTGAAAAAGATCACGTTTAAATGATTATCAGTACAGTTAATATATAAGATATTTGTGAGACTACCCCCGGAATGTCATGGTACGGCCGAGAGTGGGGAGAGTCAGCTCTCATTTTTCAAATGCTCTCACAAGGCCATGTGTATACAACCACTGACAGACATCTTACTCGCTGCTTTCTCACGGCATCGGTGTTGTTTACAAAATTGAGAGAACGAAAAGCGAATGTCCGAGAGTTTAATTGGGTTAGTGCACACAAAGGATTCACCTAGAGGAGTTGTAAAACATTTATTCCGAACCAACGATGCATAAAGGCTCCAGGATCCTGATGGAATAAATGGGGTATGGACCAATTATTAGTCACTGGCTAACTTGAGACTGTATCTCCTTACGTTGCTTCACTGCTTTGTGGATTTTACCTTTCGGTCAAAGGATCGAGGAGTGGCCCTTTAAAAAAACCACCTTACTCGGTCTAGGCACCCAGGAAGCATCCCAGCCCTCACATAAATTGAATGATTTATGTATCGCATAACTATTTGGTGTCTCCTTGTATCAATGTTTTTGTGTTAAATAAATAAAATATATATAGAACAATTTCACAGAGATCACATAATAATCTTTGGAAATTAAAATATTTATCAGATTTGATAAAGTTAAGTCTAAACTATTCAGTATATGTCTAGTGAATAACACGATTTCGTTCAATAGGTAGAACTGTTCATTGGAAGTTATAAATTTATTTAACCTTATAAACACTGGTACAAGGAAGCGCTAAATAGATATGTAACACTTAAATCATTCGATTTATATGAGGGCTGGGATACTGTCCGGGTGCCCAAACCGAAGCACATGGTTTTCTTAGAGGGTAACACCCAGAGGCTTTGACCTAAAGGTCTAATCCACAAGGCAATGGAGCAACGTCAGGAGATGCAGTCCTATGGTAGCCGGTGACCAACAGTTGGTTCATACGCCATTTATTCCCTTAGGATCCTGGAGCCGCAGTGAACAACTGGTTTTGAATCAGGATTTCCGAACTCGTCTAGGTGGGTCTTTTATATCTACTAATCCGGTTAATGCATCGGACATTCGCCTTTCCTTCTCTGAATTTCGTAAACAACACCCCTGCCATGAGAAGTCAGTGAGTAGGACTCCTCTGTCATTGGTTATATACACGTGGCCATATGAGCGCATTTTGAAAGGGAGAGCTGACTCACCCCACTCTTGGCCGTATCAAGGTATTTGGGGGCGAAAATTATAAAGTTTTGATTCATAACAAACTATAATTAGTTATTAATCCTAAATGATAATTATTATTCTTTGTTTATTGTAAGAATTTGTTTTATGTAATCGTTATTCATTACAGCTGACCAATTATTGTTGCCAACATCCTTAATACAGTTTTTTTGTAATAAAGATTGTGAAATGAAAAGAACGAAACAAATTCGTTACACAACTTAATTGTATCCCTGTTGATGTCATCCATTTCACATCATTCGAATTCGATTTCTCCAAAATCTTATAAGTGATTGGCTTATAATGATGAAGTTACTTTTATTAATTTATGAAATCATTAAGAGTTCGATATCAATTAGAAACCAGCAAACGATGGGCAGCTGATTCTTCCGAGTATTAAACTACTCAGTTGTACACTCCTACAAGCTCATAGAAGATTAGAATCAGCTGGCAGTTTATCTTCAGAATATTCAGTTATTACCTCATGGTTTACTTTTATAACTCTGTCTCTATGTGGTTAAACCCAACAGATTGAGACTACGCATTGGGATGCTGAACTTATTCATTAGGGAATAGATGTTTATCATTATTATTGTTAGTATTAGTATAACGGATTCATGATTTGGTCTACTGAACTATCCAGTTCAGAGAACAAAAATCCACCAAAATCATCCACCTAAACTATAAATCTTCTCCATTATTCATGAAGATTGATGAATAAAAAATTTCATTAGCTATGCGTTTACATTATGTAACGATTTAGTCTTGACATTCAAAGAATAACAGTTTTATATCATTAATAAAATGAAGTATTAATCAAATTATTCTTCAATCATTTTTTTTAAGCTTCTGAACAACCAGAACATATGAAAGAAGCTCGTGAATTATTAGATCATTGGTCTGTTGTATATCCAAATAGTGCTATATTCTTATTATTATCTGGTCGTTTAGAAGAAATATCTGGAAATTTACATCAAGTAAACTATTATATTTTTAATACCAGATGGATTTTATGGATATTGTAGTAATTTCAATGGTTAAGATTGTGAGTCAGTTGAAGCTAGATCACTACGAAAAACCTGGAAGCACTGGACGGTCGTTACGTGGATGCGCACTGCTGAGGAGTCGCACAATAGGACGAGACGGTCATCCAGTGCTTCCAGGTTTTCCATGATGATCTAGCTTCAACTGACTCACAATCTTAACCATTGAAATAAAAAAATTACCTCTATGATCCTGTCAAAGAAATGTGAAAGTTTTACAGCTTTGATTGAAATATCTTACAAATTATTGATCAATAAGTAGTGAACAATCGCAAGTATGTCGAATCCCACTTAGTGATAATTGGATACTGTTAGAAATGTTTTGCACTTCATAAAAACATTATACGATCAACTGTTTAACAAGCCTTGTTCATCGGATGAATAATAAATTACAATCCATACTTGATCATTACACTAGTTTATTATCATTAAGGTTACTAATCAGTATTAGATTACATGAATCTTCAAATCATTTCATACAACCTTAAAATAGTACAAAGTGATAAATCTTCTAATTGTACGCTTGAATCGATTTTCTCATCTCTTTTAATAATTTCAAAGTAAATCCATATGACAACTTAAGTATGAGAAAACAAAAATAGCTTGAAATATATAAAGAGCATTTCAGATAGCCTTTTGGGCTTCTGTAAGAATTTGGAATCCTACTAAACATAGTAGCAGGACAAGATAATTATTCAATTAGAAATTTGATACATGATTTTTCATTTTCCCTTGTTCTGAGTGATAAGTGATAAGCGTTTCCGACAAAAACAATCAACGACAACCAGATATAACAAGTAAGCATTTGATTCACAAGTTATAACAATTGACAACAGAGATTTCAGAACAGATTAGTTTCTAAGAAAGTTCTATTCAATAATGATTAGATCAATTGTTTTGTAGTGTTGTTTAAGATCCAATTAGGTCTTTTTTTTCGAGGAATACTCTAGGTCAGTTCGACTTATTCAATATTTTCATTATTTTAAAGGCTATCACATTATTTCAACGTTCAATAAATTCACAATCTGATTGGATACATTATCATCATCTATGTTATTGGGAATTAATATGGTGTTATGCGTAAGTTTACTTGATTACTTATAAAGAATATGTTACTTGAATAGAAATTGAACTTTCTTTTTAAGATCATAATTACTGATTAGAAGATCTCTTAATAATACAACTCCCATTGGTGTGAAACTGATAAAAGAAATCTTTCCCCCCCCCACTGTTTATTATTTACTTTAATCCATCTTTAATCGGATAGTTTTTAATCTACTAGGGGATAAATATTTTTAACAATGAACTGATATTGAAAAACATTTGATGTTTAGGCTTAAATTTCAATCAATCTTTGTTAGAATGTATCAATTCTAAATGTATTTACATACAAGGATAGAATGATTCAGTAGGGTAATGAAATGTATGTTCTGAATCTTATTGAAAATCACAATCATTGGTATACCGTAGAATCGAGCTCAGTGGTCTAGTAGGTTGAGCGTTCGCGCGCGAGACTGAATGCCCTGGGTTCGAGTCCCGCGAATGGGATCGTGGATGTGTACTGCTGAGGAGTCCCACAATAGAACAAAACGGCTCCTAATTTTTCAATGGTGGTCTAATATGTATCGGTTCATGATGTAAATATTGAGTGATCGTCAGTTAGATGTTAGCAGTCCACTCAATCGACATCTAAATAATGTACATCACTGGTATCTATAACAGTTTTGTTATTATTTCCCGATGAGAATAATGAATGGTAACTTCTGGAATCCATTTATGGACCAATACTAAACGTATATTTTTATCGTGTAATTATTAAGTAACTAAACTGTTCATTATTCATGTTCCTCTTATTATAAGCTTTATTTTGATCTATGAACTATTATTATGCGATTTACCATTCTTGAGTTATACGTAGTCAATCAATTATTATCTCCCACATTCACATCCACTTTGGGCTAGATTTTGTACAAATGTTATTTCCTATTTTATGGTACGCTTCAAATAAACGATTCATATATCAGAGGCTGAGATTGGTGTTCTAGACTTAACTGGTTGAGCTAGTCAAGAAGCAAGACCATTAAGGACTGTAGACTGCTCGTGCGTGTTTTATGCGTTATTGGTTCGATCGATAATTCATTGCTCTCTAATTGGCTGTATCATTACGTTATCCATTAACCAGGGCACACATGCCAACAGTTGTAACAAGTTTCAACAGTCACTGTAATACACTTATTTTATGAACTTAGAATATCATCAATTGAGTATAATAAATATGTTAAGTTAATTAACTATTGACCAATAACTTAATGAGATTGTATAATAGTGAATAGTAGAATAATCTCCATTTTTGATCAAGAATAAAGTTAGTGATGCTAATTGTTAAATTGATCAGTCTGCTTTTAGTGTACAACAAAATCTTTCATGAATTTCCAAATGATTAATTTAATCAAATAAAGAGAATATGTTTATGGTTAATTCGTTTATTCAATTTTTTGAATATTCAGTCAGCTACAACGTAGGATCAGGCACATATGTATGCATCGGTCCAAGTTGTAATAACTCATTAGCACAGTAAGATAAACACTGGATTTAGGATGTAAGCATGATCTAATATAAAGTCGTGAATAGAGAACACATTCAATAACATACACGATATTGTAATGACGATAATGACATCTTTATTTCTATCTACCTTCTTTGAAATTTGTATCAAAAGTTTGATAACCTTTGTATTATTGAAAGTTTTGTGATCGATTAGTCTATAAAACTCATCGATTTATTATGTAGTACAGACATTTCAAGCCGTTGGTTATTTTTGGAGTAACTTGTAAAAAGACTAGAGAAAGGTAGATCAATGCAAAGCTATGGAACTGAAACCAGTATATGATGCAAACAATTGTTATGAAACTGACTTTGTGTTGAAAACAAACTTGGTATCAGTATCCCGCTCGCGGTATTCGAACCCAGAGCCTTCAGTCTCGAATTCCGTGAGCGGGATCGTGGATGCGCACTGATGATGAATCCCACAATGGGACGAAACGGCCGTCCAGTGCTTCTAGGTTTCCGATGCTGGTCTAACATCAATCGATCCATGATCTCAATCACAAACTTGATATCATTTTCGTACTTTCCATGACAACAAATATTTTATTATATAAAGAATTGAATTGACAGAAATCAAGCAAATACTACTTGGTTAGTAAGCAGTGACCAATGCCATGATAATCTTATCCTTAGAATTCTATAGAAAGTATCGGATTTCGGCAAATAGAAGATACACTTCAATGACTAGTTTCAAGTAACAGAAACCTGGGTTAATTTGGATCTTCTAAATTATCACTTTCAAATATTCGTCTTGGAAAATAAAATGATTATTCAAACGGATGAAAGCAGGACAACTTCATTTTATTCATTGTATTTCATATTTACAGATTACAAGCAGATTGGCAAAAAGCAATTTTATACACAGAGAAATTAGCATTAGAAAGTCGGTGGAGTCAAGCATCTTATAGATATATGAAAGCAGCTTTCCTTTTACAAAGTATAGAAGATCGTACTGCATATGAAATGAAAAATCATGATGGTGTAATTGAAAAACCACAAGAAGTGGTTGATCAATTATTAACGTAAGTTATTGATATCAAATAGATTCTTTAGTTAAACACATTATCCAAAAATTTATAGGCTCTCTGATTTGATAAAAATGGATAATGGTTAACAGTAGAATACAGAACGCTCGTTTTTTCCTATTCAGATCTCGTCAGCTGGATGTACCTATGTCTCAGAGTTGATGTTCACTTTGGAACTTGAACTCACCACCGTTCATTTCAAACGTCATCTCGTTATCTATTTCGATACTGAGTAATTTTGTAAACTACATTTCATTTTATTAACTTTAAATAAATGCTCAACTTAATCTTATATCAATATTTAAGTTCAAATCAAGTTTTGATTCAAAGTATAGAAAACCTTAAAAATGAATGAAATAGTTTATTTTCTGGTTAGCGAGTTAGTTTATTTACGGGATGAGGTTGTTGACCCCATGCTCAACCTTCTTCTTTTACCCGGACTTCGGACCGGCAATAACTCTGGAAGAGCTACAAGCGAAGTTAATGAATGAAATAGTAACCATCTATTAAAACCATTTAGTTTTCTTTATTTTCTATCTATAATAATAAAACTTGATAACCTGTTACATATATTTAAAGATCTTTACTGATAACCATTTTAATACAGATAAACTATGATGATTGTACTAATATTCATGAGATGAAATGGGAATACTATGTCTATCCATATCACTTCTCTTATATTAGGGACTAGTACTGATGTGAACAGAACGAACAGAATACGATAACATGAAACATCATACTTACTTAATTACGCCTGTTACTCCTCGCGAAGGAACAAAGGCTGACTACCAGCATTTTCCGTCCAACCCTGTCCTGGGTTATCCTTTCCAGCTCTTTCCGGTTGTTATTCATCCTTTCCATATCTGCTTCCAATTCTCGACGTAGTGTTATTAAGCCTTCCACTCTTCCGCCTCTCTTCAAGATTCCAAGTAAGGGCTTGCCTTGTGATGCAGTTTGATGATTTGCGTAGTGTATGTCCTATCCATTTCCAACGTCTTTTCCTAATTTCTTCTTCAGATGGAAGTTGGTTTGTTCTCTCTCACAAAAGGCTGTTGCTGATGGTATCCGGTCAATGGATGTTGAGTATCTTGTGTAGACAGCTATTTATAAATACTTGTACCTTCTTGATGATGGTTGTAGTAGTTGTGCAAGTTTCAGCTCCATACAGTAGATCTGCCTTGACGTTCGTATTGAAGATTGTGACTTTAACATCTGTTGATAGCTGTTTTGAGTTCCATATGTTCTTGAATTGTAGGAATGCTGACCTTGCATGAAACATCATAGTAATACGTTAATATACTGACTGAATTTAGAATATATATGGACAGTTTGACTGAAGCTTAGTTATTTAAATATGATAGGTACAACATTAGTTAGTTATTACAATGATTCACTAAACTTCTTCTTGATTTAATAATGTTTCATGACAGAATTCGAAAACTCCTTAAAATAAAGATAGTATCACTACTCATAATTGATTGATCACTAAGTGCGGATCAATGTCATGTATGTCAGGTCTTTCTTAGTGTAGATCGAATGGTATCAACCAAGTTGCAATGCAACCACTAGTGTAGATGACTTGACATGTTGGGATAAGATATGCTTTGGGGGAGTCAACAGGAAACCCTGGACCCGGGTTTCGTGCTATCTGACACACGTCAACATGGTGTACCTGTAATCTTGAGGGAACTGGTGCTCCCTAACGGATTCGACCACGTGTGACCCAGCTTCACAGTCAGAGATTGTACCATTGGGCTATCCTGGCCGTGACTGACCTTCTGTAGGACTGAGATGTATTCATAATTGATTGATCACTGGGTGGTGATCAATGTCATGTGTGTACATTGTGTTTCACTACTGATGGTGTTATACATTGAGTATGGGTCGTATAACACAACGACAACTACATTTGTCTGACCGTTTTCTTACGGGCCAGATATTCATAACAGAAACACTGATTTCTACTATAAAATTAGTTTAATACACATGATGTATCCAATTGTGTCTGTTTTTACTCACTGATCAATCACAACTAACATTATCTCGATACATCAGATCGGTTTGTTATTGATAGTGAATATCATTCTTTACTTCAAGAATTTCGTCTGTAGCATTAATGCATTACAAGTAGTAGTCAAGGTTAATGTCTGATGGTATAAAACACTCCTATGTAGTGAATGAGAACACAAGTGCAAGACAATCAAATATATTTGAATACACAAATTACAGAATCTCTTAGTAAAATCTGAGAACCATACAATAGATACATCATTTGCAAAATGTCAATTAATCGTTTCAAACTTCGGTGTTCTTTCGTTTTCACATCAATTATTCGTTGTTCTCGTTCTCTTTTGTTCGATCTTTTTAACTTTCTGCCATGTCTAGAGTTTTTGTTGAGATAAAGTTGATCAAGAAACGTTTACATCATGTATTGTTATCAATCGAAGAAGCTCTTAAAATTGAATATTAGACATTTATTCTTTCCTTGTATAATTGATCTTCGAGCATTATCAAGAATTAGTTAAAGAATACCATTGAATTTTGTAGCAGCTCTTTAAAAGTACGAATGTTTTGGATTTTATCACTGAAAGGTTTGTAAATATGAACTACTACTGATGAATTTTAAAGCGAAATAAAACGTCGATGCAGTACTCTGTACTTTTAATTGTGGCACTACAATAGACTTTGATTCATATTTGCCCTCAAATTCCATAATAGGTTCTAGAGTGAGAAGAGTCAGCTCTCCCTGTCGAAATGCTCTAACATGGCCACGCGTATACAACAACTGACAGAGAAGTTCTACTCACTGTCTTATCACAGCACCAGTGATGCTTACGAAATTGTGAGGACGAAACGTGGATGTCCGGCGCTTTAACCGGATTAGTACATACGGGGGATCCACCTAAGGGAGATGAAATACCTTGATCCCAAACCAGTGATGCACAAGGGCTCCAGGATCCTGATGGAATAAATGGCGAACGAACTTATTGTTGATCACCGGCTACCATGGGACTGTATCTTCTTACGTTGCTCCACTACTTTGGGGATTATATCTTTCGATCAAAGGATCGAGGAGTGGCCTTTTAATAAAACCATCTGCTTCGTTTTAAGCACCCAGGCAGTATCCCAGCCCTCAAATAAATCTAATGATTTATGTGGCGCATATCTATTTGGCGCCTCCTTGTACCAATATTTCTATGTTTAAATAAAATAATAAGATTCATATTGTTAAACACGTATTCTTGATAATAATAACTTTCAGTAGTCAAGCTATTCAAGTATATTTCTCGCAAATACTTAGATGTATTTCTTTTTTTTTGTAGAGATATACCGCATATGATCAAACGTTTCGGTGGTCGATCATTACCAATTGAAAAAATTGCTTTGAGAAAATCTTCACGATATTTTGCACAAAATAAAAGACTAACTCTTCCAGCTTTAGTAAGTTTATACTAGAATTTCTAATGTAATCATTATAATTAATAATGTATTACATTCCATTAGATCTTATCTGAACAGTCATTGTGATGACTTGCACTTTGTGATATATTTCTGGTTCATATAAGAACTGGATATGCACTACTGAAGAGTCCAATACTAGGACAAAACTTCTATCCAGTGTTTAAAGGTTTTCAGTGGTGACCTAACATTGGTTGGTTCATGATCTCAATCAATATTTCCCTTTATTTTTATAATACTGTTCACGTTGTACTAGGACACTAAAAGTATGACTAATAATAAAACTAGATAAATTTTCTGATGAATACTAACCATATTGTGTATAGTTCGAAATAACTATTGTTCAAGGTGAAAGTCGTATCGTTATTTAGACAGTACGACTCATATTAATTTACCCAATAGTCATATTTCATCCCTTTCTATACGAATCTAGTACTCTAAATGTAATCTAAGTAGCATTTGCCACCAAATGCCCTGGTACGGCCGAGAGTGAGGAGAGTCCGCTCTCCCTCTCCAAATGCTCTCACATAGCCACGCATATATAGCCTCTGCCAGGGAATTCCTACCCACTGCCTTCTCGTGACAGGGGTGTTGCTTACGAAATCGAGAGGACGAAAAGCGAATATCCAGCGCTTTAACCGGGTTGGTGGATATGGAGAGTCCACCTAGGGAAGTTGGAAAACCACAATTCCAAACCAATGGTGCACATGGGCTCTAGTACCCCGAGGGAACATATGGCGTATGAACCAGTTGTTGGTCACCGGCTATCATGGGACTGCATCTCCTTACGATGCTCCACTGGCTTGTGGACCAGACCTCCAGGTCGAAGGCTCGGGGAGCGGCTCCCTAAGAAAACCACCTGCTTCGGTTTGGGCACCCGGGCAGTATCACAGCCCTCACACATATCAAATGAAATCTGTGTGACGCATATGTATTTGGTGCCTCCTTGTACCAATATCTATCCGTTAAAATAAATAAATAATTAGGAGTTGAAGTGACTAGTAATAAGATACGTTCAAATGTCACATACTATGCACTTATGATACGTTTTTTGTAAGGTGAAATTTATCATGTGGTTCGAAACATTCTAGGATTCATTTTAAGAACTAACCAGTGATTCTATCATCAATATAGAATTTATATCATTATTGAGTTGCTTATACTAAATGTATTCTTTGTGAATATCAGCCATGAATCGAAGCCGAAAATATGATGATTATACTTAATATGACGATAATAATGAATGATAACTGTTGGAATCTATTACTGAACTAATACGATACATGTATTTTAATTGTATAGTCTTTAAGTAACTAAACTATTCTGTTACAACTTGTGACCGCCTATTAGAGAACAGTGAATTATCGATCGAACCAATGACGCTTGAAACTCGTGTGAGCAGTCTAGAGTACTGATCGGTCCTGCTTCCTGCCTAGCCCAGCCAGTTAAGTCCAGAACACCAATTTCAGCCTCTGCATTATGAATCATTATATTTCAAACATACTGAGTTTATATACCAATCAAACAGACCACAACGTACCAATAAAGTATAAAACAATATTTGTACAAGAATTAGCCAAATGTGGCTGTGAATGTGGGAGGTAGTAATCAATATACTGAGTGTAACTCATGAGTGGTAAAACGTATAATAATAGTTTATGGGTCAAAGTAAAGTTTATAATAAGAGGAATATGAATATGCATAGTTTGGTTACTTAATAATTATACAATAGAAATATACGTTTAGTATTGGTCCATCAACAGATCCCAAAAGTTACTTTTTATTATTCTTGTCGGGACATAACATATTCATATTCCTTTTATTTTGACCCTTAGACGACGAGTTATTGTACTTGAGTTATGCCCAGTTTATTTAATTACAGTCTCCCACATTCACAGTCACTCTTTTGGCTAAATCTTATACAAATGTGTATTTTCTATTTTATGGTACAGTATGGTCTGTTTGGTTTGTATATAAACACAGTATGTTTGAAATATAATGATTCATATTGCAGAGACTGAGCTTTGTGTTCTGGACTTAACATGCAGAGCTAGGCATGCAGAAGAACCGATAATGACTGTAAACTGCTCGTACGACTTTATACGTCATTGGTCCGGTCGATAAGTCACTTTTCTCTCATTGGCAGTATCATTACGTGATACACTAATAAGATACAGGGTACAAGTTATAACATTGTAAACACTTATTTTCAACTTCATGTTGATGTGTTGTTAACACAATTATTCTACTTATTTTTCTCATTGAAGTAGTAAAATATTTTATCATGAAATAATAGGTATGTCATTTATCTTTTTATTGAACCACAGGAACTTATATTCATTTGGAATGGATTCAAAATGATTCAGTCACAACCAGATGCTATAACAGCATTTATTATGATATGTGAGAATAAAATTAATGAATTATTTCAAAATAGAGGTGAGATATACATCATATGATGATTTTTTCTCTTTTTTTTATCATCACAATGTATAAAGTATATCCAGCTGACGACTCCCGAATAGGACGAAACGCGCGTCTTGGATTCCATTGCTAGCCACTACTTATCTTTGCTTATAAACATTGTGACTTAAGACAATATCGAGATAGTCCGTACAGAATGCAGATATATCAAGAAGAGACTGATCAATTGCAACAATGCAAAGATACAATCAAATGAATTAGACGGAATAGTAGCTTGGATCAAATTACATACTCTGCCAGTGGAACAATACTAAGTAGTTAAAGTGTATCAAGAGGTTAATTTGTTTTACGTTCAACGTTGTTACTGACTAACTGAGGAGACCAAGTTAAAATGCATAGATTACAGGAAGAGAGTCATATATTGAAATAATAACCAGTTCCTATACTAGTTGATCACTGAATAGTAATAAGAGTCTAGTTTGGGTGACTCAACTTAACATGTATTATGTTTTACTGTTTATTGATTAGACGTACTCAACAGGAAATCTTACATCTATAGTTTGTACTAGCTGGAGCTTGATAAAATGGTATCACTATGACTAGTGATCATATTGCAACTGAACTAATTAAATCCGATTAAAACTAAAGATTAGACAATCATTATGTCGGTCACTATTCATTTGTAAGTATTTGAGTCTTAATGTAGGTTATTAGAAGTCTCAATTGTTGAAAACTTATGTTTAAAATGATGAGGTTCGATGAAGCATGCTTGAATCTTATGAGGAGTGCTAGTTACCTGAATATGCACACTATATTGACGTTTGCCAACTAGCACGAAACACAAAGTTCTTTAGCTTATCTGATATGTAATGGAATAGCTCATATTGATCATTTAATTGAGTAGATTATTTGAACATTACACATATTCTTCCCTTCTATCTATCTATCATGTTTATGTTTATGTTTAGATACAAGTGAAACATTTTATGATGATTATTGTTTAGCTTTAATGCTTAAAGGAGTTTGTCTTAGATGTCGTGGTCAAGCATTTCAAGCTTATATGTGTTTCACTGAAATAATACAATCGTAAGTGTTGTGTAATGCAATTTACAATGGAACATTTTTGAAATATATTTCATTATTATTCATGTGTAAGGAACCAATATTATGAATTGTATTCTTGGATGACGAGTTGAGGATGAGCATTACTGAGGAGTCTCATAATGAGAGAAGAAATGCTCGCCCAGTGCTTCCACATATTTAACTGTAGTCCAAACAAGATCAGTTTACGATTTGAACTAAGATAATTTCATGTTTGTTTAGTTGTTAGTACTAGTCATTGTAGCAGCAGCCTCAAACAGCAATAGGTCTCAACATACACAAAGGGAAAAGGGAGATTTTCTGACACAAAACAGCATGCAACAATCGAATGACACTTGACAAAGAAGATTTGGAAGATGTAAAAGCCTTTACATATCTGGGCAGCATCATTGATGAACACGGTGGGTCTGAAGCCTATGCTCCATTGGGAGTAACAGGCGTAAGAAAGTAAGTGAGTAAGTGCTAGTCATTATTGTCCGATATGGTTATGTTGTAGTCACTGATTAAGATGAGTTGAGATCATATAAACTATTATTGAATGATAGCATGGTTGGTGTACTCATCAGAATACCTTGGATTTAGGTTTTACGCAAGTTGGTATTCAGCAGTATATAATATCTTACAGAAGTCAATGTGAGACTATTTAGCGACGGTTCAAATTACATAAGCAATGATAGTTAACTTAAAATTTAAGAAATGTTCTGATAGTGGGTGTCAAATATTATGAAAGTTACATCTCTAAACAGCTTACTATGGATCATCTTTAATTATTTAACAAGTAGACTGAGTCATGCTGCTAGGTGTAGACTACCTGGTTGACATCGGCAAGACGATAACAATCGATGGTTAGAGACCTTGAATGACATGGTTCAAAATCGTTTGCAATGGCGCAGGTGCATCCACTCTTTGTGTTCTCTCAAATTTCAATCTTCTGAATTCTTCGTGTTTTTTTAAATATTTTTTCTCTTTCCAAATTTATTTCATTGGACTGTACTCCTTGAATAACATCTTCAAAACCTAATCGTTTTGATTACTGCCTATAGTTTTGCTATCTTTACCACTACAGGATGTGAATCGACAATTGTATCTATGTGCTAATGTGATATGGCAACTCGAACTGATATACGTACGTAGGTACAAAGTTCTATGTTGTTGCTGACTGACTGAATTCTTATACACTGACATTAACTGTACAGTTATTGTAAACCAATATACACTGATTAAGTGTTTCCCACATGGAATAGAATCATGTACCATTATATTAATCTATAGATCAATACTGTGAAATCATTTTGATTGAGTTTTTTTCTCTGAGCTGAATGATTCGATCGTGAAGAGATGATGCCTACGATTAAACAAACCATCTAGCACAAAAAGACAAAACTCTATCAAAATCATCCATCTAAGCTACACATTTTCTTCATCATCATCTCAGGTCTATTCGAATTCATTGATTGATTATTATTTTGTTTGTTTAGTAAACGAAAATTAAAAATGGACACTTATCTTTTACCATATTGTGAAATGGAATTATGTCATTTATCATATGAAGAAGGAGAAATTGATGAAGCAGTGAAACATTTAGAAAAAGCATTGTAAGTTGAATACTATTTACAATAAGACGATTAACTTACTGGTTAGATAGTGATAATGTATTTGTATATGCCTATAAATAATTCAATAGTCTATCATCCTCATTCCATTAAACTTTAGAATCTAAGTTAATATAACGTTTTATGTCCACCGGCCCCCTTCCCCCGATTATTACGTAACCTCGTTGAATAGATGAAGTCTCAAATCAATTTATGATGCAACCTTTTCTATTCTTCTATAGACTCATATAATTACCATACAACTACAGCTTAAGTAAATGGTTTCATCGAGAGGAGAAAATTTTCTTCATTGAATACTCTTTCTTGTTAATCAATATACCAATAGGTTATTTTAATTCTCTAAAGAATTGAATTGAATAGCTCATTATCATAGATCTACAATGTTTTCCTTTAGTTATTAAATAGTAGTTCAATAATAGATATTCCACAATTCATAGGATTATGGAACAATTGTCTAGTATTATATATGATTCGTTATAGTTACTATTGATCTAACTGATCTCATAAATGAATAGTTTTTGTGTGAACTGAAATGCCTTGATGATATTTCAAAGGATTTACGACGGTAATATAGTACAATAAAGAGGGTTTTTTTGTATTAGTAGACTAATAAGTGAGATCTCATTTTCGAGCAACGTTTTCTTTTCTAACTTCTGATGACTTCAATTGTTATTTATTTGTTTATTTGAACACATAAATATTGGTACAAGGAGGCACTGAATAAATATGCACCCCATACAAGTCACTTGATTTGTGTGTGTGGGCTGCAATACTTACCGGTTGCCCAAAACGAAGCAGGGCTACATCCAGAGTCTTTGATCTAATGATTTAATCCGCAAGACAATGGAGCAATGTATGGTAATCGGCAACCAACGATTGATTCATACGCTATTTGTTCCATCAGGATCCCGGATCACATGTACCCCGATGGTTTGGAATCAAGGTTTTACAACTCCTCTAGTTGAATCCTCCGTGTGCACTTGCCCGGTTAAAGCGCCGAACATCCACTTTTCGTCCTCATAATTTCGTAAAGAACACTGGTACTCTAAGAAGGCAGTGAGTTGAACTTCCCTGTCAGTGTCTGTATACGCGTGGCCATGTGAGGGCATTTAGAGAAAGGGAGCTTACTCTCCTCACTCTCAGCCGTATCAGGGTTGAGATGATCAATTAGAATAAAGATAAAACTACCTGTAATTTCATTGTTAACTCCTTTAAACACATTTTTCATTAAATTTTAGTTGATACTTTTATTGATCTATTACTAATTACAATTTCAATAATGACTAATGCAATTTGATTAATTGTATCACAGTGTTACATCTAAGAATACATTAACTCGGATTCTACAGTCCAATAGGAAAGATGATAGACTAATTAATAAATCATTTACAGGTATATACAAACTTTAAGTGATGACTAGTATTCATAGTGACTGATAGATGAGATTATTTATGCAAGTTGTAATTGAAGAAAGTCTCAGTTTGAGCTAATATATTATGTTTCAATGGTTAACATCATGAGTCAGTTGAAGCTAGACCACCATGGAAAACCTGGAAGCACTGGATGGCCGTTTCGTCCTATTGTGGGACTCCTCAGCAGTGAGCATCCATGACCTACTGGGTAAAACCAATAGGTCCTGGGTTCGAATCTTCATGGTGATCTAGCTTCAAATGACTCATGATCTTAACCATTGAAATTACTTTAATCTCTACAAAACCCATCTGATACTGATATATTATGTAACATTTCTCCATAGAATGTAATATTTCAACCTCTATTTCTATTGAATATCTATTTAAAACCTTATTTCTATTGGTTATCCGAGGTCAAGACCTCATGATGTCATGTTGTAATCACAAAACTAATTAAAGAGTATCAAATTAATTCCACGTTTAACATTGATACAGCAAGACTATAATGTATGAACAAACCAATCAGATTTAAGATAATGAGTCTTTGATTTTGGCGCGAAATTCATTCATCCATTTGGCTAAATAATGTTTTGACATTTAAGCTAATATTAGTTTGTGATGAAAAATCGTAAATCTTATTCTTAATTCTAACTATCAACTTTCAATCATATTTTGATGGAGTTTTGTTCTCTGAGGTGGATGGTTTGATCGTAAAGCTTTCATCGTTCTTCTGAACGACATCATCAGCACAAACTTCAGATAGAAGTGAAGTGTTCAAATTTCTCCATATACGTTTCACAGCTTGTTCTCTACACCTCGATGTTGATTGGTTCTTATTGACCTTAAATTTTTCATTGTTTACTTCTTTGTTTTGGTTGTGTCTCCTAAACCATCCAACTCAAAGAACAAAACTTCATCAAAATCATCCACCTGAGCTACAAATATTCTCCACTACTTTCAACCATAATCCATATTCTATCAAACTGTTTTATAACCCTAATTTAAATCTGGTAACTAGGTAGATACACTCAAAGTTATTTTGGTGTCACTTATAAATCGTTCATAAATGATAGTCTCACCTAATGATATTCATGTTTCTTATTTTATTTATTCTTTTAGAAGTTATAAAAATTATCATTTAGAATCAAGATTACACTTTCGTATTCATGAAATGGATACACGACTTAAAGAGAATAAACGTAAACTATCAAGTGTCACTATACATCAAGAACAACAATCTCCAATTATGAAAAAAGCTGGCAGTGAATACTTTCTTACATCACCAAGTATCTTTTCCAATAATAGTAATAATAATAATAACAATAGTGATAATAAATCAATATCATCGTTTAAATCAGTTGATATTCCTGCAAATTATTCATCATTAACATCAACATCAGAATCGTTAACAGTGCCGTCATCATCATCATCAACAATAACAACAACAACAACCAAAGTGAAGGGTGCTTTATCGGCAAGAAATTTATCGCATTCAAAAAATAGTAGTGTTGAAACATTGTCTTTATCATCCGATGCAAGACGATTATTTGATGAAGATGATTTAGACGATGATGAAACATTCATTATGGATTATATACAAGATGAATAGATTTACTGGTAATATGCTTTTGCCATGGTAAGTCAATGAGCGTTTATCTTACACTATGGACTAACCTGCGTTAGTTGACCATCGTACACTAGGAAGTACTGGACAGGTGTTGTATATTAGTAAAGAACCGACAAAAAGTTCTCATCCATGACCCTGTCAAGCATTGAACCTAAGACCTGCGGACCTCACATTGAGTGCTTAACTATTAGACCACGTAGCCGATATCCAACGATTTACATTTTTGACTTTAATTGATTCACGACATTACACAACCATCATCTTCCAATGATATTGGTAGGCGACCGTCGCACATCTGAAATGGTTGGGCGCCAAGAAGTACCTGTTGAAATTAGTCACTAGTGAGAATATAGCCAATGTAGTTGATTTGTTCTTCCTAATTTTTGATGATTTGCTTGCTAATATTATTCTTTAATATACACTATAATTGAAAAGATGATAGTATTTAGGAGGAAAATGTTATATCTAAGAGGCTAATATGCGTGCGTACAATTTAGCATCTTATTTTTGTATTTGACTGCCAACTTTGAGAACCATAAGAAGCGTGAGTTGATGATCCTACACGAAATTGAGGTGGAGATTCTCAAGTATCGCAAGGAGCACAACACTTTTAAGCTGGTGATCTAGAATTCGACGGTTAATGCTTTCAAATTCATTCAATCCCTGAACAAAAAAATACTTCATGATATGTTGTAACTCCTCAGTAGTACGCACCAATGATTTCGTACACAGTATTGAATCTGAGGATTTCAAGTCTACTGGTAAGAAAGGAATTTTGAAAATGCACAATGTTGAATAACGAATGAAAAGTAATGTACTTTAACTGTCAGGTTCAATCATATGTTGGGCGTTGAAGGTGCTTATTGTCGTATAGTCGAATTAGAGTATACTGTGTCTAGCATTAGATGACTGCAGTTCTAGATCTAGCCATCATGCTGGTTCTTTGTAAAATAATAACCCATATCACTAAGTGCCATGGTCAAAGACACTAACATCGAAGTATTTAAGATATTTCCTTATTTAAAATCATAAATTGATATTAGCCGAACCACCGTCAAAAACTTGGAAGAGATAGACGGACACCTGATCATAGTACGGCACTCCTCAGTAGTGCGTACTCATGACCTTCAAGTTCCTTGCGCGGACGCTGGACCTATAAACTACTGAGGCAGTATCCAATGGTGTTAATGTCCAACTCAAATCATTTCACAATATTCTGCGACTATCTTTTATTACCTGCAATAAATAACCGTATCACACTCAGCATGGTTGAACTCTACTAGTCACTGCATCTTACTAGAATTTTAAGAGTTTCATCTTGAAGCTAGAAACTAATGAGCACATAACTATTAATTAGTATATAGGGATTTGTGAAGATTGTAGACTTATTATTAGTTTTAATCATTATATGATTTTAGTTAGACCATTATTTATAAACTATAAGCACAGGATAATCGTTTCGTCCTAGTATAATGGGAGTGAGTGGGCTCTTCAACAATACACTTCGACAATTTTGAATGCATAGTGAAAAGTACTAACACTTATCTTTATAATTTATATCATCTCACATGTATTATTTTCTAATCAACTATTCTATCGTATTACAGATTTACTCATTATATACATTGTATAAGAAAACAATTATCCTGATAGAAGAGAATTGAAAAGAAATTTTGTTTGTTTGTTTGTACTTTCAACAAGAACAAAAGAAAAAACCCCCCATAAAAAATCAAGAATACAAAATTTAATAAAATTCCAATTCATGCACAATTATTTTTTTTCTTTTTTTTTGGATTGAAATCTAAAACAGATTGTTTATTGTTACTATGGTTACTATCACCACCACCACTACTACTACTGCTTCTACGACTACTAATATCATTCATATCAGTAGTAGTAGTAGTTCTTCTTCTTCTTCTTCTTCAAATATCTACATGATACTGTCTTGTTACTTATTTTTATTTGCATACATTATTAAATTAAACTTTATTTGGTTTGTATTATTATTTTTGTAAGAATCGAGTATAGATAATGCGTGCAATTCTATACATACATACATAAACAGATAACTATAATCCATATACATTTCAATCATGATAACCAATCCAATTTCTTCCATGATATAAAGAAAGGAAACAGAAAGAAAGAACTTACTTGTTGCTGTGGTTGTTGTTGACAGTTTAATCTTTTATTCAACTCTTGTTGTGGTTTACTTTACGAATCTAAATGTAAATAGAATTTTGTTGATTTCTCGTTTGATATTTTGTGTCTGGTATTATGATGTTTATTTTGTTTGTTTGTTTTTTCAAAATGAAAAGTCTTCCTAAATTACAATTTTCCAGAAAAGAAAATGCACATAAATATTGTAATAATGATAATATTAATACTACTTATTTCTTATACATACTACTTATTTACTTGTATCTTTTCATTGATGTTTAAGACTACAATTGATCAGTCTCTTATTGGGATAGGTGCATTTTGTGTGGATTGCCTCGACATTGCCTTAAGTCACAAACTTTGTGAGCAATGATAGATAGTGGTTAGTAGTTGGGATATAAGACAGGTGTTTCGTCCTGTTTGGGATTCGTCAGATGGATGTACCTACATCTCAGAGGTGATTTTCACTTCAGGACTCAAACCCACCAGTGTTCGTTTCGAACGCCGTCACATTCTCCACTTAGCTACTGAGTCCTTATAGCCACTTGCATTTACAATGGAGTAATGTTTAAATTCACTTGGTATTGTTTGCTTGAATCTTCCCATGGTTATTTAGGACTGGAACTGATCGGTCTCTTATTGGCATATGTGCATCCTATGTGGATTGCCTCAAGTCACAAGCTTTTTGAGCAAAGATAGGTAGGGGCTAGCAGTGGAATACAGGACGCGTGCTTCATCTTCCCATTGATATTTAGGATGCGCGTTTCGTCCTATTTGGGACTCACCAGCCGGATGTACCTAGTTATTATCAATTACTAAATTATATGGGAGGTACTTCATATAACTCATGAAAAATACTTCCTGATTTTCGAAAATAAAATAACTGAAATGGATGATTGGCTTAGTAAGGAAAGTGATTATTATTGTCTATACGAATATTACACAGATATATAAATAATAAAATCAAATTATCACATGGTTGTTCCCCTTTCTGAGATAGATACTTGTATAGATTTTGATCATCTTCCTAGTGTGAATACACATTGTTCATGAGTTATGTACTAAGACAAGGCAGGTATTCAATGATTCCTAATTAACCAAAATTGTTTAACTATGATCAATTCTGCGCAAACCTTTTAAGTTAATAAACTCATTTTTCATTTCGACAGTCAACTATTTCAATGTTCCAAACGATTTCAAATACATCTCTACCGGTAAATAACTCTTCGAAAGGAATAACTCAGTGCAGTTAACATTTATGCTAAGTTTGTTACACTTAACGAACCTAATTAACTGAATGTCCCTAGTCAACCATCTTGATTTTTCATCAGTGTAGCTGCTAAACTGAAGTAGTAGTTCGAATTCCTTATCGGACACTTGCTTTTAAGTTCTATAATACTACAAAGCTTGATTGGAGAACATTAGAACTGAAAGCAGAAGTTTAAGATTCTATGATGAAGTTCCAGTGCAAACTATACTGGAATGTGGAAAAAGTAGGATGTTCCCTTCAGACAACCAGGATTTGCAGTAATTTTGCGTTCCTAAAAATTGGAGGTTACGGAAGACCGATCCGAAAAATAGCATACCTTAGTTCGCCGCACACATCTTCATCGCCGGCGACAAGGTCTACAAAATACGGAGTCAGCCCTTCAAGAACTCACAAAATGTCCGCAGGTAACCAATCTCAAGCAATTATCCCCACGATTATGCTGTCACTAACTTCACTAGTGATCCACCTTTGTCAGGTCCATCCAAAAGTATTCTTCCATATTGTGAGGAACTGTTCATACAATTCTAACAGAACACGATAGTATGGCTTTAACATTGCACCACTTATTTCCGTTTAAGTAGTTAACTAGTATCTCTAATTGTAACACATAAATTGTGAGGCATACATAACTACATAAAAAAACAAACAATGCAGTGTGTTAAGATATCACTTTGTTTACTGAACCGTGACTGATCACCTATAAGAAATAAGTTAAGTATACAAACAAAAATTACTAACACCCTAATTCATGATATGTTCTTTATTAATTACTCTTAAATGCTTAACAAACAACTATAAAATCTTTTCGATGGGGTGTTGTTTACGAAGTTGTGAAGACGAAAAGCGAATGTCCGGCACTTTAACCGGGTTAATGCACAAGGAGAGTCAATGTAGGGGGGTTGAAAAACCTTGATTCCAAACCAATGGTGTATATCCGTTCCAGTATCTTGAAGGAACAAATTGCGCACGAACCTATTATTGATCACCGGCTAACATGAAACCGCATCTCCATATGTTTCTCCACTGCCTTATGGATTGGAACTTCAGGTTAAAGACTCGGGGGGAGGTGTCCCTCTAAGAAAACCACCTGCTTTGGTTTGGGTAACCGAGCCGTATCCTAGCCTTCGCACAAATCGAATGATTTATGTGGCGCATATCTATTTGGTGCCTCCTTGTCAGCCAGCTAAAACGTAGGACCAGGCACATATATGCATCGGTCCTAGTTGTCATACCGCACTAGCACACCAAGATCAACACTGGATTCATAGGAGTGGTTAGGTCAATGATGGTAATATATAAAAGAAAGATTACATATAAGGACATAGTACAGGAAGAAAGATTTAGTACGTAGAAAGAAAGACATGAAACGATTTTAATCTCTTAGTTTAAGGGAAGATAGTGAGTGTATACACCGACGCCATTTTGATCGATTCTGAAGCATGTCACCAAGAGTCTCCAACCATTGATTACGATAGTCACGCGGACCTCAACCAAGTAGTCTGCATCTCCCAACATGGCTCAGACTAGAAGTTAGTGACTTCAAGCATTGATGCCACGTTTTTGTTTGGCCGCCCCTAACTTTCTTCCAACCATTTCCAACACCGGTTAGCGTTGCACGTCTTGGTAATCGGTGTTCAGCCATACGTAACACGTGGCCCAGCCATCTCAGTCGATGAAGATTCACAACCTCATCAACTGATTTACCATCATTCCCTAATACCCTTCGCCTAACCTCATTATTACTAACCTGGTGATCCCAGCAGATGCCAGCAATATCTCTGAGGCATCTGTAGTCAAATACTAGTAGCTTACGAGTATCTTCTACTCTTAATGGCCATGTTTCGCATCCGTAAAGTAAAACAGAACGAACTGCCTCCTTGTACCAATGTTTATGTGTTTAAATTAATAAAATATCGACAATAATGAATCATTTACATAATACATAGTACCATTTCATGAATTGAATTTAATGAATAAAAGTAAATTACAATCTTTATCAATATATTTCATACATAAATTACAATGGAAATCTACAAAACTGTACAATAATCAATAATAAGGTATAGATAATCTTTTCATTATTGTTATGTACATTCATTCATTTATAATGAATATGATATCATTAGAAATTACAACTGAAATGAGCTGGAAAGAATTGCCCAGGATAGAGTTAGATGGAGAATGCTGGTGGTGAGCGGCCTATGCTCCTTCTTCACAAGGAGTAACAGGCGTAAGTAAGTAAGAAAGTATTTATCATTAAAAGAAAGATACTATTATTGTGTTAATAATTCCGGTGGTAAATGACCAACATCTCCAAGACGATTAAGTGTTACTATTGAACCATATCTTAATTGTTTTGTCAATTTCACTTCATCATCATCATTATCATCACTATTATGATTATGATTATCTTCTTTAGAATGAATTATGAATTCATCATTTGTAATTATGAATGTACTAATACTTCCATGTCCTAAACTTAAACGTAACCATCCTTCAATTGGTAATTGTAATAATTTACAAATCCAATAACGAAATACATTAGCATGACCAATAAATACAATTGTTTCAATTGGTTTATATTCTATCATACGATGACATGGACAATCACATTGAATTATATTTATAATAGAATTATTGTTTAAAATAGAACAACAATGATTAGGACAATAGAATGGACCATTATATGCAATAAGACCTTGTTTTGTAATTGGTTTACTATGTAAATGTATTTGAAATCCTTTATCGATACGTATACCTTCTGTTGAACGAATATTATCAGATTTTTTTGTAGACGCTTTAACATCATCACCATCATCACCACCCGAAAAAAATGAAATGAATAACAACAGTAAATGAGGATTTCACACATATGAACAGTGGTAACAGTACTTAAGATTCAATACGATTAATACAATATACATAAATATATATATTACCATTATGTTAATAGTTAAAAACCACTCACACTTCAAACAGATCAAGTTGAATCTATTAAATTTGACTGCTTTTCCTATACTTACAATATGGATATGGAGGATCCACCGAACGAATGGTGCAAATGGTCTTCAGTATGAACCTATTGTTGGTCACCGGTTACCATGGGACATCTCTTAATGTTGTTGCTCCACTGCCTTGCAGATTAGACCTTTAAGTCAAGCACTCCGGATGTGGCCTCCTAAGGACGTCACCGAGCAGTATCCCAGCCCCTCACACAAATTGAATAATTCATGTGGCCCCCAAATGACGTGTTATGGCCGAGAGTGGAGAGAGTCTGCTCTCCCTCTCGAAATGCTCTCACATACCAGGGAAGTCCTGCTCACTGCCTTCTCGTGACGGGGGTGTTGCTTACGAAATCGAGAGGACGAAAAGCGGATGTCCGGCGCTTTAACCGGGTTGGTGGACATGGAGAGTCCACCTAGGAAAGTTGGAAAACCCTCATTCCAAACCAATTGTTCACATGGGCTCTAGTACCCCGAGGGAACATATGGCGTATGAACCAATTATTGGTCACCGGCTATCTTGGGACTGCATCTCCTTACGATACTCCATTGCCTTGTGGACCAGACCTTCAGGTCTACGGCTCTGGGTGTGGCCCCCTAAGAAAACCAACTGCTTCGGTTTGGGCACCCAGTCAGTATTAAAGCCCTCATACATATCAAATGAGATCTGTGTGACGCATATGTATTTGGTGCCTTCTTGTAACAATATCTATGTGTTAAAATAAATATCTATGTGCATCCTTATACCAACATTTATGTGTTTAAATAAATATATAAAATGATAAAATACATTTTTTTCAAACAACACAAATAGAATGTAAGTAAGAGATGAATCAATTCTCAATGACTTGATCAACATTAATTGAGAATCTTCATGCCAATAACAACCGTTTCCCTGAATTGTTAGCATGTTTTAAATTACAGCCAATACACACATTGTTTTAGCCTTGTACCCAAAAGAAACCTAGTTAGATTTCTTGCATGTAGAGCCAGGAGGATATACTCAGACGACATAATGAACATTCAGACGCCCCACAATGGTAGTATTTCTCGATCTCAAGGCAGCATTCGACTCTATTGATCGTGAGGTTCTATGGCAGTGTTTGTCACTGAAAGGAGTACCAAAGAAGTACATTAACCTTATACAGGCTCTCTACTCGAACACAACTGGTAGAGTGAGAGCTTATGGCGAACTGTCATCAGAATTGATTACCTCAAGTGGTGTTCGTCAGGGCTGTCCACTCTCCCCATTCTTGTTCAACTTTGTCATTGTCGTACTTTTAGAGATAACACTCTCCTCATCTAAATTTCCAGGGGTTGAACTTCTACCAGGAGGTTCACTTGTTGACTTAGAATATGCAGATGACATAGTTTTATTTGGTGAAGACGCTGACAAAATGCAGAGTCTTCTGACCACTCTAAGCAACAATGCAAACATGTTCGGGATGCGATTCTCTCCCTCGAAATGCAAAATGTTGCTTCAGGATTGGGTTACATCGACACCCGAACTAGTGATAGGGAGTGAAGTAGTTGAGTGTGTCGACCGCTTCACTTATCTTGGAAGTCTCATCAGCCCTTGTGGTCTGGTGTGTGACGAAATCTCAGCACGGATACAGAAGGCTCGACTAACTTTTGCCAACTTGCGTCATTTATGGCGTAGGCGAGATATCCGTCTATCAACCAAAGGACGTGTTTACTGTGCAGCAGTTCGTTCCGTCCTACTTTATGGCAATGAAACATGGCCGGTAAGAGTAGAGGATATCCGTAGGTTACTAGTATTTGATCATAGGTGTCTTCGAAACATTGCTCGTATATCATGGGACCATCGAGTAAGTAACACAGTTGTTAGGAAACGGGTACTAGGTAAGGATGGCAAATCAATTGATGAAGTAGTGAAACTTCATCAGTTGAGATGGCTGGGACACGTGTTACGTATGCCCAACGACCGAATGCCTCGACGTGCTATGTTCAGTGGTATAAGAGTAGGTTGGAAGAAAGCTAGGGGCGGCCAAACCAAAACATGGCACAAATGCATGAAGTCACTGACAAGTGGACTGAGTCATGTTGGTAGGTGTAGACTACCTGGTTGGGGACCGCGAGATGATAGCAACCGATAGTTAGAGACCCTGAATGACATGGCTCAAAATCGTTTGCAATGGCGCAGGTGCATCCACTTTTTGTGTTCTCCCAAATTCTAATCTTCTGAATTCTTCATGTCCCTTTTTTCCTCTTTCCAAATTTATTTCACTGGATTATACTCTTTAAATAACATCTCCAAACCCTAATCTTCCCGATTACTGCTTATACTCTTGCTACCTCTACCACTACGGGATTTGAATCGACAAGTGAATCTCTGTGCTAATGTGGTGTGGCAACTCGAACTGATGTACGTACATACGAAGTTCTACGTTGTTACTGACTGACTGACATTCATAATATGTTGATTGAAATAGGTTATCCATAAGGCTTCCTGTGGAAACACTTGCATTTAAGAAACAGGAAAATAGCGACATCAACAACTAGTAATAACCCTCTCTTCCTGAAGCTGCAATTCAATGGGAATATAGCTGGTGATGTGCTACAAAATAGACAGACTAGAGAAACGAATAGAACTGTTAGTGCAGTTAACCTGTTTATCGTTCTCGATCTGATCTTTGATGATTCTTCAACTAAAGGATAAGTTGCTTGGTTTCGCAACATCTGTGTGTATCTACGAACACAGATGCTTCTGTGGAGAAATCTATTTTAGGTATTCAAACAGACAACTCAGACAACGAGTGAGTGAACACCTCTCTTTGAGGATGGCAAAAGGTATGGCCAAAACAATACTTAGCTCTGTTCTATCACATTTGATCGGTAGCGGTCACGTAGTAGATAGAAATAGGTCATCTAAAGTGATTTATAGTATTCCTACTAATTTTGCTTATGAGTTTTCATCTCGTCTTTTTGACATAGCAGAAACTATAGGGATTCAACCTAACAATCCAACTCTTTCTATTCATAAGATATTTCTAACACCCTTATCTCTCTTGATCTCATTAACTTTGGTAAAATATTTTGTTTATTGTCATTTCCCCACACTCCTTGTTCATTTTTCCTCACTCCCTTTATCCGAATATATGCCCCCCCCTTTTCAGCATCTATATGTTTCAAGTCACTGACCTATTTCCCATCCTAATTCATTCATACTACTCTGTACTTTGATTAACACATCTTGAGTAGATGTTTGGATTAGACAAGTATAAGTTAATTGTTTTCTTGGAGAAACTAGATTCGTGATTTTACATTTTGTTTCACATTAACCAGTTTTACTCAGTGGTTAATAGACTACATCTGACTTACTAAAACTCTGCCAACTGAATAAGCAGATAGTATTTAGTGTTGTCTCTTTAGAATGGTCCACATATAAAACGTGCTTTAACATCTCAAACTCAGTGGAAAAAACGAAATCCATTATTATATATTTATCTGGGACTGGAAAACATATGCGTTCGACTTACATGTTGGTGGAACAGGAGCAACAGGAGGTGGACCCTCAGTAAGATAACGTGATAGTTGACAATCGAACATGGCACCCGCATAAGGTATATATGGATTGTCAATCATTGGTATTTTCAATGGAGAATTTGATTTAGACTTTGAAATTGTATTTTTTTGGTTAGATTTTTGTGTAACAGGGTATGATTTAGGATCATCTAATTCGGATGAATACGGTATAACAAGTTGAACAATTTCTTGTGAATCAAACAGATCGTCAACATTATTTTGTAAGCCAATTAGAACAGCAGCTGTGGTTTGTCGAGCACGGATTAAATCTGAGTGTATAATGCGATCAATTCTAAGAAAAAAGATATGTGGGACATTGAAGTATTAAAAGACAGTAAGGGTGAACAAATGGAACTAGAACAGTTTCATATAAGGACTACTTATAGAATTTTAAATAAACTTGAAAATGCGTGAGTTGAACAAGCTCGAAAAACTAATGATAATGGAAATTATAAAAATGACATAACTATAGCAGATTAGTTTACTGTATAGTCAGTCAGTAACAACGTAGAACCTTGTACGTATGTACATCGTTCTAAGTTACCATACCCCATTAGCACAGAGAGATTAAGTTTTCAGACGAAATAACAGAATAGTAGAGGTAGTAACACTGAATAAAGCCATTAATAATAATAATAATATTATCAGTGCTAATAGGAAAGATTAGGCATCGGAGATACAACTCGAAAAGAATATATAAATTAATGAGATAAAAACACAAAAAGTTATGAGGAATTTAGAATCTCAAGATTTGGGGGAGGCAAAGAATTGATGTATCTGCACCATTTTGGGCCATGTCATCCAAAGTCTCCAACCAACGGTTACGATAATCACGCGGACTATAACCAGGTTGTCTATACCCACTAACATTTCCAGGTTCAATTATCAGTAACTTCATCGACTGATGACATGTTTTGGTTTGGGCGCCCCCAGATTTCTTACAGCCTACTGTTGCACCAGAAAACATCACTCGTCGAGGTAAGTAGTGGTTGTCCACATGTAACGCATGTCCCAACAACCTTAGTTGATGAAGATTTACTACCTGTTTAGTTGAATACCTATGTTTACCTAGTACTCTCTTCCTAGCCCAGACACTGATTACTCCGTGGTATCAAAATGCACGAGATGCTTCGTAAACGTCAGTGGTCGAATGCAAGTAAACTACGAATATTCCCTACTCTTAATGCCCATGTTTTACATCCATTAATTCGAAAGGAGCGAACTACTGAGCAGTTAACTCTCCCTTCGGTTGGAAGACGGATATCTCCCCGACGCCACAAATTGCATGAGTTGGCGAAAGCCAACCAAGACTTCTGAATTGGTGCCAAGATTTCGTCAGACACTAGATCATCAGGACTGATAAGACTCCCAAGATAAATGAAGCGATCGATGCGCTCAACTACTTCACTTCCTTCAGGCGATGACGCAATCCAATCTTGAATTTACATGTTACATGTGAAGGGAGAGGATCGCATCCCGAACATGGTCGCATTGTTGCCTAAGGTGGTGAGAAGACTACATTTTGTCAGCATCTTCACCAAACAGGACTATATCTGAGTATTCTATGTCAGCCAGTGAATCTCCTAGTAGAACATCAATCCCTAAAAAGTCAGACGATGAGTTATCACTAAGAGCATGTCTATGACAAAGTTACGTAAAAATGGAGGAAAAGGACGAGCTTTCGCAAGGCTAATGCACTTCTTTGGTACATCTTCTGATGATACACACTGACATAGAAACTCACAATCAACGGAGTCGAACGCTTTAAGGTCAAGGAATACTGTTTTGTAAGATTATGGGATTTGCAAGAAAGTTCTCTGAACACCATTTGTGTGTATTTAGCACCAGCTAGGTAAAAACTGAATATTTTAGAATTAGTTCATGTATATCTGAGTATAGGCAATTACAATCAGATTGAATAGTAGTTCTATTAACCATTCTTTATGTCTAATTTTCCATTCCGGTTGATGATACACTTAAAACTTTCCCGTTCGTCGTTTTGTCATCTCCCAATTTGATTATATTATTATGAAGAGTAGCAACTTCGACCGATACAAATTTGTGCAAGGTAATACGGTATCAGTGGGAAGCAAAACATTTTTGTCAGTAAAACATTCAAAAGCCGACCAGTTGTTAGGAATATAGTAAGATTCTGTATTTATTACTATTAAACCACAGTGAACCATGGTCACGGAAAATACGATTTGATAATAGGTGGAGTTATGTCATTGATTTAAGCACTCGCCTTACTACGATTTTCAGTGGTGATAATATAGTTTTAATGCCCTAAATCCTAAAATTCCAAATCCTCATAAGTCATTTCGTGTTTTTATCTCACTAATCTATACATACTTCCCGAGTTGTGTCTCCGGTGCCTAATCTTTCCTATTAGCACTGATAATGTTACTACCTCTACTATTCTGGGATTTCATCTGAAAACTTCATCTCTCTGTGCTAATGGGGCGTGGTAACTTAGACCGATGTATATACGTACAAGGTTCTATGTTGTGACTGACTGTTAATTCTGGGATTATAAAATAGGTATGATGGAATGAACCGTCGTCAAATAACTGGGAGGGTTATTTGGCTTCACTAAGCCACTTTTTATTAACGGGAATTGGTGAAATAAGTTGCAATCCCACTACAAAACAACATAGCTACTTGAAAGCCTCAAGATACGTCCAATGAACAAAGGAAATAATGTTCGACGAAAACTAAGCTTCCATTGAATTTACTAGGACGTATTTTAATAGACAACAAAGCAAAACTGATAATTCAGTAGTCGTGAACAGATTTCTACGTATTAGATAGTTAATAAAGAGTCATATTTCAAACCTAAAACATGTAGTCCAAAACGTTATCCAAAAGTCACAACCACACAAGCAATACTTCACAATGCAAAGCTAAAACACTCAAATTTCAGTGATTACTAAGATAAAATCTGCAGATGAATAGGAAGTATGAGAATTATGTACAATCAATATCACATTTAAGCCTACTTAATTCCCATTTCCCTAAGTCGACAACCTGCAGCATAAGCTTGTCGCCAACCAATATCGGTGAGGACCTTTTCCTCCGATTTCTTTCTATTCAAATGATACTGTCCATGACGTATAAAAATAATTAATTTATGATAAGATTGCTGATGTTTTACTACGTTAAGTGTATCTGGTTTTAATCCGAACTTTGAATCATCGTGTATACCTATAAAAATAAACAATAAGACGATGGTTAACATTTCAAGACGATAAAAGTCATTATATACCATGTGACTTATCCCAGTTGTAGTTCCAGTGTTGAATTTTCAAATCAGATCCAAGAGAATGTACACTACAGTATACGGATGCTGCTGTGAGAAATCTGAACCCAAATGTTCTAAAATGCCACATTGCAAGATGTAGAGGACAAGCGCTTATGTGCAGAATCCGGTTACTCGACAGTCTGAAAGAGATAAGCACTGCATTAGCTAGTTTACAATATGAATATAGAAAAAAATGGACTCTTCTATCGTTTTGCTTGTAGTTGAATTATGAATTCATACTACGGGCGAAACGGCAAAGCCATAAACGACATAAGATCTAGCACGACACTATAGACATGTCCGTACTACACAGAACGATAAAGTCGAAATATTTGTTAATGGATGGACGTTCCTCGATTTTCTATTCCTTTAAAATGTACGAAGACCTGGAACTATTTAAGTGGTCTTAATTGATAACATGTATTTAAATAGGTACTTGGAGCAAACTAATGAAACAAAATGCCATCCTGTCTAATCTTATATGTTTGGACAGAAAAAGCACTGATAACAAAAAACATTCTAAACTGAAGTATTCAAGCCAAGTTTTATGAAAAAAGAATCACTGCAGGTCATGTTTTATCTAGCAAATGAAAATATAGAGCAACATAAATGAGAATCCAAACAAACCCATAAACTACAGTAAAAGATTTGCGGAAAACGACAATAAGTACTTCCAGCTCTCGTGTTCAAAAAAGAAAAGGAACAAAGAAATAGTAATGACTACAACAGGCACGCTACCACAGCTAATTTTGAGCTATTTTATGGCTAACAGCAGCCGTAGTAAGAATCCAATACTCTACTCATAAATTTTCAATGGCCCAAAAGGAACTAATAACTCTAACAATCATTTATCCTGGTCATTTCGAGAAAGAGGTGCTGACTGATTGGGAGAAGAACTAAGAGCACCTGGCAACGTTACTCAAGAGATTGGGTGTTTGAAAACTATCAGCACAGTTTTAGTTATGTCCATACAAGCTAATAATTTTACGCAGACTAAAGAAGTGCTCCATTCTTCAGTCCACTAACATTATGCATAAATAAGGATGCAACCGTAATGTAACCCAATCTTTCTATTTTGGTGTAAACTTCTTCTTCAAAGCTTTCAGGAAAATCCTCAAAATAATAGCGGAAATTTCGGGTTTACGCCAATATTTACTCAGAATATTATAACACTTCTGGGTTTTTCACCAAAATTTAAAGAAAACTACCAAGTTTTTCACGACTTTGTGGTAAGCCCCAAAGCTTATAAATTTTGAGTAATTACCCGAAATCCCTCAACGTTTCTCTAAAATAGGTAAATTGCGAACTGAATTCGCAGGATTAGATATTTGCGGTCATGGATGACCTTCAGTCTTCAACAAAAAGTATAATAAATCGCTGGGTCTGCGTTAATCATTGTAGCTTGTTCTCCAGTAGAGATTCTGCATCTATTTAAAATTTTTCACGGATGTGGCTGATTACACTTGTTTTTATATAGCTTGGTCGCGCATCCACACCAATTGCGATTGGGTACTTCGTTCTGTGCATTCCTTGCAACGACTAGCCAGCCTAGATCAAAAGCTTTTCAACACATTGGCAGCCTATCAAATATGACATCAAACTCATTCATTTCTGATTACACTGGTTTTATGCTGTCCGGTTATGAAAGAGTTACGGATAAACTTGTTGTCAAACCTTGAATATCTGTGACATCACATTGGCGGACAAACATTTGCCTCGTATTTAATAAGTTAGTAACTGCTTATTCCTTAACCCATGTTTCTCAGAAGTCAACAGGCTAGATAATTCCACATAGAGTAACTAAGCCTTGGTTATTTTTAAAAAATACATCGGTTACTATTCTGGTATGACTGATAGGTTGGTAGTTAGACACAATCTGCCCCGTTCCATAGTTAAAAACATGGCAAAAATAGTATTTTTACCAATCCTTGGGGGGTTGAGTCATAGGAAGCTCTATATCGAGCTGCGTCGTGAGTGATTTTGAAATAGTGTCTGCTTGGAACGATATTAATTGTGGGTGTGCAACTACTTACGTTTTGTTATAAAGAACTTAATAAAGATCTGTCGATGTCAAAACATCATAGCTCAAATATTTATTTACCTTGTAGTGACTGACGTTTATCACGAGAACACGACTGGTTTAATAAAAACAATTATTATTATAACCAACTGTACCAGTGTGTGTTTTACCGTGCTTTTGTTTGACTGTGCTAATGACAGCTATTTTGTGCTTCCATTCTTTTACTTACACTTCGATTGTAACTTCGCGCGAATTTGGTTACATTCTGTAACCAAGGTTGTATCCTGGCACGATTTCGGTATCCTTTCGATGCCACGAGATCGCCAGCTAATAAACCTCGACTTGGTCCATTAACTGTCTTCTGATATTTGGCTTCTCGGGGATTTTATGGAGTCATTTGGAACGAGCTTCTTACGCCTTCTGATCCACTTGGCACGTGTTTCCTGGTAGCGGTGTTCACAGTTAATCTCAACTCGACGCCACGCTACAATTGGTGACCCGTATTTTGGAACACGCCTCAACTTCTGATCAAATCTTCCAAAGAAGCCAATTCGGTGAGTCTATGATTTATCTATCCACGTCTGTCGTATATTTTCGTATTTTTAATATATAATATACGCGACATGACGGATAACGATAAGAATAGTATTGATATAATAGACTCACACGTATGTGTACCGAATCCTTGTCACTTTTTATTCGCGTGATGATGAATTCCACGCTTTATTCGAGAAATGTTACCCTATTAACGATTCTCCTCGCTGACCCGGCTGCTTGGTACGGAATGCATACGCATAAGCATATCCGTCTACCACCCAGCACCAAATGGTTAAGTTGAACGGTTTCACTGCCAACTTAAAAGTGTTCTACGAGCACACGAAAATGGCAACTGGCACGAAACCTTACCGCTCGTTCTTTTAGGGGTGAGAACGAGCTTAAAGGCAGATATCCAATGTTCCGCCACTGAACTTGTATACGGCACGACATTGCGTCTGCCCGGAGAATTCTTCACACCACGGAGCAGACCTAATTTCGGTAAATCAGACTACGCCCATCGACTGTCTGCATTTATGCGAACGCTATCTCCGGTGTCAACTCGAATACAACATCGACAGGTCGCTCTCCCTCGAGTTATCTACCTGTTCACATGTTTTTGTACGAGTAGATTCGGTACGCAAACCTTGGCAACAACCTTACGAAGGCCCTTTTCACGTGATCGCTCGTCACGAAAAGACCTTCAAGGTTGATCGATATGGACGCGTCGAGATCGTCAGCATTGATCGTCTCAAACCAGCACACGTCGATGACAGTGCCCTATCTGACAACCTGAGATTCAATGCTAGACCTAGCAAACCTAGCGGGATCCTCAAATCATCTTCAGGTCCCACGCTAGATACATCTGAGACCTCATTCTCACGTCCCAGTCAACAGCACGCGTCATCTGCACCGTCTACGGACGAGACGACAGTCTCACGCCCAGATCAGCAGACCACGCCGCCCTTGACTTCGGATGAGATTTCAGGCTCACGCGACGCGAACGAGACTGCCGTCTCACGTTCCGGTCGCCGAGTACGATTACCCGAACGCTTCCGCGAATAGTCGCACAGTCAACAACCGATACGGTGTAGGATTATTCCTATACTACACGTATGCTACACTCTTCTTTTTTTGATTTTCTTTTTGTTTCCTGAGCCCACGCCTTCGACCATCTCCGTTTGGTCCCGTCGACTTCAGTCAACTTTGGCGAAAGCTGGATTGGCCACCCACGCTCTTGTCAACGTACTCAGTCGATATATTTGTTTCGAATGCTTGGCATATGCTTGGTCTCGAACTTGGTCGTTATGGTCGCTTCTGGTCTTTTGGCTCAACGTGGTTTCGTCCTTCGTCTGCAGCGTTTATGGTCCGGACCCGTACGAACGCCCTCTTCAGATTCTGGATACAAACCACTCTGGTGTAGCATGCCAACTCGAGCAATAAATACAACACATCGCTCCTGGTACTGTTCTCCGAAAACGACCTTCGTTGGCAACTCGACGATCAACGATCGCTTTCCTGTTCGCCAATTCTTCCGTCCTACAATCGCTCGTCAGCCGATCAGTCCCACGATTCAAACCGCTATTTATCGAAAGTGTAAACCCTTTCTAGCGGGGGTCTCCTGTAGTGACTGACGTTTATCACGAGAACACGACTGGTTTAATAAAAACAATTATTATTATAACCAACTGTACCAGTGTGTGTTTTACCGTGCTTTTGTTTGACTGTGCTAATGACAGCTATTTTGTGCTTCCATTCTTTTACTTACACTTCGATTGTAACTTCGCGCGAATTTGGTTACATTCTGTAACCAAGGTTGTATCCTGGCACGATTTCGGTATCCTTTCGATGCCACGAGATCGCCAGCTAATAAACCTCGACTTGGTCCATTAACTGTCTTCTGATATTTGGCTTCTCGGGGATTTTATGGAGTCATTTGGAACGAGCTTCTTACGCCTTCTGATTCACTTGGCACGTGTTTCCTGGTAGCGGTGTTCACAGTTAATCTCAACTCGACGCCACGCTACAATTGGTGACCCGTATTTTGGAACACGCCTCAACTTCTGATCAAATCTTCCAAAGAAGCCAATTCGGTGAGTCTATGATTTATCTATCCACGTCTGTCGTATATTTTCGTATTTTTAATATATAATATACGCGACATGACGGATAACGATAAGAATAGTATTGATATAATAGACTCACACGTATGTGTACCGAATCCTTGTCACTTTTTATTCGCGTGATGATGAATTCCACGCTTTATTCGAGAAATGTTACCCTATTAACGATTCTCCTCGCTGACCCGGCTGCTTGGTACGGAATGCATACGCATAAGCATATCCGTCTACCACCCAGCACCAAATGGTTAAGTTGAACGGTTTCACTGCCAACTTAAAAGTGTTCTACGAGCACACGAAAATGGCAACTGGCACGAAACCTTACCGCTCGTTCTTTTAGGGGTGAGAACGAGCTTAAAGGCAGATATCCAATGTTCCGCCACTGAACTTGTATACGGCACGACATTGCGTCTGCCCGGAGAATTCTTCACACCACGGAGCAGACCTAATTTCGGTAAATCAGACTACGCCCATCGACTGTCTGCATTTATGCGAACGCTATCTCCGGTGTCAACTCGAATACAACATCGACAGGTCGCTCTCCCTCGAGTTATCTACCTGTTCACATGTTTTTGTACGAGTAGATTCGGTACGCAAACCTTGGCAACAACCTTACGAAGGCCCTTTTCACGTGATCGCTCGTCACGAAAAGACCTTCAAGGTTGATCGATATGGACGCGTCGAGATCGTCAGCATTGATCGTCTCAAACCAGCACACGTCGATGACAGTGCCCTATCTGACAACCTGAGATTCAATGCTAGACCTAGCAAACCTAGCGGGATCCTCAAATCATCTTCAGGTCCCACGCTAGATACATCTGAGACCTCATTCTCACGTCCCAGTCAACAGCACGCGTCATCTGCACCGTCTACGGACGAGACGACAGTCTCACGCCCAGATCAGCAGACCACGCCGCCCTTGACTTCGGATGAGATTTCAGGCTCACGCGACGCGAACGAGACTGCCGTCTCACGTTCCGGTCGCCGAGTACGATTACCCGAACGCTTCCGCGAATAGTCGCACAGTCAACAACCGATACGGTGTAGGATTATTCCTATACTACACGTATGCTACACTCTTCTTTTTTTGATTTTCTTTTTGTTTCCTGAGCCCACGCCTTCGACCATCTCCGTTTGGTCCCGTCGACTTCAGTCAACTTTGGCGAAAGCTGGATTGGCCACCCACGCTCTTGTCAACGTACTCAGTCGATATATTTGTTTCGAATGCTTGGCATATGCTTGGTCTCGAACTTGGTCGTTATGGTCGCTTCTGGTCTTTTGGCTCAACGTGGTTTCGTCCTTCGTCTGCAGCGTTTATGGTCCGGACCCGTACGAACGCCCTCTTCAGATTCTGGATACAAACCACTCTGGTGTAGCATGCCAACTCGAGCAATAAATACAACACATCGCTCCTGGTACTGTTCTCCGAAAACGACCTTCGTTGGCAACTCGACGATCAACGATCGCTTTCCTGTTCGCCAATTCTTCCGTCCTACAATCGCTCGTCAGCCGATCAGTCCCACGATTCAAACCGCTATTTATCGAAAGTGTAAACCCTTTCTAGCGGGGGTCTCCTGTAGTGACTGACGTTTATCACGAGAACACGACTGGTTTAATAAAAACAATTATTATTATAACCAACTGTACCAGTGTGTGTTTTACCGTGCTTTTGT